GTCGTGTTTGTTCAGCCTCATTGACGCCACTCACAGAGACGTGGACGTGCTGTTGCTCCTGTCTAACTCGGCCTACTACGTTGCCTAGTAAGTGGCTTATTGGTTCAAAGCTTTTCATTTTGGTTTTAAATCTGAGTGAATGTCCATTTTAGGAAATTAAGAATCTGGATTTGTTACATATTTTGAGAAATGTCATTGAACCCCTTTACCTTACATAACTGTTACATCACTCAGACTTTTATTAATTTGAAAATGTTATATTATAGTTGTACTAATGTGTTATGTAATATTTCTTTAGCATTTAGTATTGTTTCTTATATATCTCCTGAGTTTTGATGTGTCCCACCTATTTTTTATTGTTAATGACCATATATCATTGTTTTTACTACTGTGCCTTAATTAAATGTCTCCCCGTTGTCAGGCATTAAAGTAACTTTTTTTTTACTATAGTGAATGATACAGACAGCTACTTTTTGCTGATCATTTTGTGAGTGTGTTTATAAGGACACTCATGCACACATGAGCACACATGTACTTCTCTTTGGCTATAAAGTTATCATTTTGGTTTTATCACTTGGTTACAGTAATGAGTGTTATGACTTTTGTGGTTTATTGCCAGACAGTGCCACTAGCAAAAACACAAGTACTTCCTCATAGCCTTGCCTTTCCCTAGGATTTACTTTCTTTTCGGCCTTGTGTGAACTGTCTTTTTTCTTTTTAGTCATTGGTCCAGGTACCTGTTGGTCACAATCATTGATCACATGGATTTTTCCTTCTTGATTAGGATGTAATTTATCTGCTGTATTATTTACAAATACATAGCTTCAGTATATGTACCTCTACTTTCTGCTTTCCTTTTAGGTTAAGGTTTAGGTTTTGGGGGTTTTGTTTTGTATAAGTTTTTATAAAACTTAAATTATTTTCCTATGAATTGATTTCTGTAATGTAAGATCTATAAACTGATTTTCCTTTAGCTGTTAACTATGTATATGTTAATCTGATTTCATCTAGTTTTAAAAATACTTAACTGTAGGTATTGCACTATGGAAGATTTTTAACTACATAGTAGTTGCTACTATTAGCAACTGATAAGTTGCTAACAAGACAAATATGCCTTTGATTTTAATCCTCTTTTTAATCCCTTTTCCTTTATCTAGTTACGATGATGAAGTTGATAAAGTAAACCAGTACCAACGACTAAGTCTAGAAGACCTGGAAAAAATAGAAATAGGTAAATTTTAAGATACTAACCAAGTCATTGAAAGCAAATGCTGTTTCTTTCAAGAGCAGGTCAGATTATATATGGCGTCAGCATAACATTTTATTAGACCCAGAAAGGGATATTCCTAGTAGTCTATTTTTCTAGGACTCCTTTCTTTTCTTTAGAGATGAGTGATAGATATAATCTAATAACTATTTTTTTAGTACTTGTGAAGATTAACCCAGGATCAAGAAAGCTTAAATATTTGAGACTGAAAAAGTTTTGATGAATAGTCTCATCAAACCCAATTGTCACAATAAGCTTATATTTTGAGTGCTTTTAGATTATGAAGATAAAGGTGCTAAATATCTTTCGAAGATTTAGAAGAAGGTACATGTGAAACATTTACACATACTCATTTGGGTCTTCAGGTCCTGAACCCACTCTTTTTGGAAAGCCAAAGTTCTCTTGCATGCGGCTGCACTATAGATGCAAAGAAGCCAGTGGCTATTTCCATACCCTGAGAGCTGTAATGCGCAATCCAGAAGAGGATGGGAAAGGTAATGAAGAGAGATGAAATTAATGAGTGATAACTTTTCATCTGCTTTTATAAGCCCACATGGAATCGGGGGGTACATGCCATTACCAACTAAATGATCCAGAGAAATAGCTTTGTGATTTGAGACCTTAAAATAGCAACTTTGTTCTCAGCAAGGCAGGGAGATTACTTGAACTAATGATGTAGTTTGGGGCAAGGGAATCTATAATGGGAATTCTGTGTGTGTGTGTGTGTGTGTGGCCATGTGGATGCTGGGCTTTTTCCACCACATATGCCTCAAGTGGATAGTAGTCAGGGACCATGTCTGTCTTGTTCACAGCTATTACCTTGGCTTCCAGCACTTAATTGCAATTGATTTGGTTCCTTTGCTCTTTATTTACTCTTCTGTTAAAGTTGGTTTTAGATTACTGAATTAAGTGGGGGAGTTAATAAATAAGTAGCAGTTTTCTATAAATTGAAGCAAATAAATAAATGTGTATTTGACTGGAAGGTCACAGATTTCATTTAGGATTCTGAGTTAGAACTGCTGTTTTTTTTGTATGTTTTTGGTGAAAGTGGCAAGCAGTTTTATTTGGGTTTCAGATACTCTTCAGTGCATTGCGGAGATGCTACAGATCACCAAACAAGCCCTGGGGTTAGATGTACCTATAATCGAGAAAAAACTGGAGAGGTGCGTATGCTCCTTTGATTTACTCTCAAGATTAAAGACATTATTATCCACAGTCTTCTTTGAAAGTATTTGCACAGGTCTGGGGATCACATTATGCTAATGAGTTGGTATTGAGAAAGGGAAGTATCACATTTCTGTGGATCAAGAAGTGTAACTTTTTCTTAAAATTTAAGGCCCCAAGTGGTATGTTTTTAAACTTAAAATATACTCAAAGGGGGAGCACTCAAATTTAAATAACTTTGTAGAGAAAATAGCCAGTATATTTGAAACACTAGTTTTTTTAAATAGAATTGTTTCTGTAGTTTTTAATGTAATTTTTATGAAAGTTTCATGACCAAGAGTCAAACGTTTGAGATACCTGTGGCAAAAGCACAGTTCTTTGTAGCTGTTACAAGGGATGCCAAAGAAACTGCTAAGTTTAGTTGTCTTAAATGTCCCAAATCTTTTAAAATAAATTCAGATAATCCATAGGAAACACCAGCAAATGACATTCTTCCTCCTCCCACCTCTACTTGAATTCAGCCAAATTGGGATCTACGTAGACAGCTGTAGTCACAGTGCTGTAGATGAGTGTGTGGGTCTTCCCATTTCTAGTCTGCGTTGCCGTGGCCCATTTAGATCGTGGATGTGGAGCCTTTGAAATGTGATTAGCCTGAATTCTGGGTGTGGGTTTTTTTTGGTGTTTTTGAGAAAAATTTATTCTCAGAATGTGCAAAAACGTGGGCTGAGCTAACAGTCAGGAAGCTTCCCTCCCTTCCTCCAGTCTTCCTCCTCCTCTCTGAATGCCTGTGAGAATACAGTTAAAGCAAGTATGCAGCAGCAGACAGAGACCAACTCTGAAGCCCACCAGAAAGAGCTGCACTGAGTGGGATTAGGACGCTGCGGATGTGGTAGTGTTTCCCCAGCGTGGCTCTGTGTCACCCGTGATGCCTGTTTGAGGAAGATGAGGACAGCACATGTGGGAGATGTCTCTGTCCTTGCTGCACTTGGGGTTAGCGTCACACAGCCAGGCCACAGGTTCCCCTCGTGCCTGGGAACGATCACCAATGTTATGTAGAGGCTTCTGCTGCTGTCCTGTGAAATACTGCCCACCGACTGTGTCAGAGACTTAGTACGAAAAAGAGTAAGATGTACCTCGTTCTCTTTAATAACCAGTATTAAATACTGGTTATCTGCTAAAATGACAACAGTTTGTAGATATTGGCTTAATTTAAGTAAAGTACTGTTAAAATTCATTTCACATGTTTAATTATGGCTGCTAGAAAATTTTCAACTACATATACAGCTCACATATTTCTATCGCACAGTCCTGTTCTCGTATCAACTCCAAGGGGTTATCTGAGTTTATCAATTAGCAGTGCACCATTGTCAAGAAATTGGAGCCAACTTAAATAACAGCGTTTTCACTTTGATAATTGGAACTAGTATGTTGAATTCCAGGGAAAATTAACTTTTTTCTCTTCTAATTTGTAGGAAGAGCAGTAAACCTCATGAAGACATTATTGGCATCAGATCTCAAAACCAAGGCTCTCTGGCCCAAGGAAAAAATTTTTTAATGAGCAAATTTTCATCTCTAAATCAAAAAGTGAAACAGACCAAATCCAATGTAAATATTGGCAATCTACGAAGGCTAGGAAATTTTGCAAAACCTGAAATGAAGGTTAATTTTCTAAAACCAAACTTAAAAGTAAATCTTTGGAAATCAGATAGTAGTCTTGAAACCATGGAAAACACAAGTGTGATGGATAATAAAGTCCAGGCAGAGTCTGATGGGGAAATGTCTTCGGATAACGACTCCTACCACTCGGATGAATTCCTTACAAATTCCAAGTCTGACGAGGACAGGCAGCCAGCTAATTCTTTAGAGAACATAGGGCCAGTAGACTATGTTCTTCCCAGTTGTGGCATTATTGCGTCAGCACCTCGGTTAGGCAGTCGATCCCAGTCCATCAGCAGCACTGACATTAGCATTCATGCCCCTTCAGAGATTACTGTTGCTCACGGAAGTGAGCATGGAAAACGCTGTGAATCTCCTTTGAAAAAAAGTCCTTCTGCTGATTATATACACACATTGACTGGCTTTGCCAAGCCTGTGGATATTTACTGTCACAGATTTGTACAAGATGCACAAAACAAAATGACCCAACTATCAGAAACCAGATCTGTTTCTCAGCAGGCTAGTGAGGAAGGAAATCAAACGACCAGTCGAGTTTCTAATGAAGAAACCCAATCTGAATCGATGGAACAGATACCGTCTCGACCATCTCAATTAGATGTGTCTTTTTCTGCAACAGGCCCACAGTTTTTGTCTGTTGAACCAGTGCATTCAGTGGTATCTCAAAAGAACCCTGGCTCTGGATCCAGCATGCTTGAACTTGAGACAGGACTTCATGTAACTCCTTCTCCTTCAGAGAGCAGCGGCAGCAGAGCAGTGTCTCCCTTCGCGAAGATCCGGAGTTCCATGGTCCAGGTCGCCAACATAACCCAGGCCGGGTTAACCCAGGGGATCAGCTTTGCAGTGGCCAAGGTTCAGAAGAGCCCAGCAGAGCCTGAAGTGGTTAATGAAGTCCAGCAGAATGAACTTAGAAATATGTTTACGCAATGCCAGACGCGAATAATTCAGATTTAGTTTTTAGCCACAAAGAATCTTGTGGCTTTTACTTAATCCACCCCCTTTAAAAAAAAAGTTTCACATATTGGGCACGTAACCTGTACTGACTTTGAATCTAGGGATTTTAAATTGTTTATTGGGAAAGGTTGCCAGAGGTTTCTAAATTTGAGAGGACAACAGAAGTGCATCGTCCTACAATGTGTAGGCCTGAGTAGCTGATACACTACAGAGCAGATTGTCTCTTTGAAGGTAATTCAGGAATAGATTACTTTGGGATATAAAAATCTGAACCTTTCTGGGAGTGGGTGAGTGGGTGAGTGGGTGGGGTGGGAGGGTTGAGTGGATGAAGTGGACACAGGATGGTCATGGATCATTTAGGGATTAGCATTTTATAATTTTTCTTAATTTCTGTGTTACCTCTACAAGGTAATACATTTAGTTTTTAGTGAGTTTAAAGTGTTACTAATACGGAGAAGCATTTGGACATTTAAAACTCAGTTTTGTTTTGATGGCTTAACCATTCCCTATGAAGAATTGAAGGTTATTGGTATAGTCAGGAAATGTCTGCCCATTTAATCCTAATTTTCCCCCTCTAAACAAATTTTAAATTTTCTGCCACCTTGTACACCCCAAAATCTAGGAGCATTAAGACATGTCAGTCAAAACCTGAGACATCCGATGTGAATACCAGCACCTATTAATTTTGCTGTTTTCAGGTAAGAATGTACACTCACTGGATATTATTAATTCTTAAGTCTTCAAGTTCTAATTTTTTGTAGGGGTCATTCCTTAACATCTTATATAGACTGTTACAACTATTGAAACCTAGTCTGAACACAGTTGTGCTAAAATTGGTTTTATGACTAAACCTGACTACATGGACACAGGGCCTCTTCTGTAAGCCCCATACTCTAAGGAAGTTGCAGTTTATTCCGAACAAGTATTGGTTTGTCTGGTATCTTTAGAGCCTTACTCTGTTGAAGTGATTCTCAGCTAAACATTATGTCTGTTGTAACTTTGATGAGTATTTCCACTTTTGTTATTTATTAGTGGTATCTTTTTTTGTGTGTGTGAAGTATCAAATCTTGTGACTATTTAAAAATAAAGTACTGTTGTAATTTAAAGTGACAATGTATGAGAATTCCTTCAGTAACATTTTAAAGGGTTTGATTTTTGAATCAGATTAAAGACTTCATAAGCAAGTTTTCTATAACTAAACACTTGGTCCCAGCCTTTCCAAATATTTTACTCTTTTGAAGTGTTTTCATTTTAAAAAATGATGAAATGGATCACAAACCATCAAATTTTAAAATCCAAACACTGAAAATGAATGTGTTTGGATTTTAAAATAAATAAAATGTGTTTTAAGCTCCACAGAAATTAGTTTTGAAATTAGTTTAGATTTTTGAAAACTAAAATTAAGAAGGTGATTTTTAATTCCAGTTACAGTAATGTCTGTACAGTTTCTTGGTGATGGAAATAGATTAACGTCATGATAGATCGACAGCTGTAATGTCCACGTGTGTAGCAGGGGAGGAAAGGATTTCTGAAGCCTGGAGGTCTCTCCTGTCCTACCCCCTTCAAGTGGGACGTGAGTCCGAGGACGTGGTTTTCCACCAAGAGGCAGCGGGATCTCCTCCACACAGATCACGTGGGATGAGTTTTCTTTCTTTGAAAGGTTTTCCTTTCAAGGGAACTTTTCTGCTAGACTGCACTCCTCTGGTAAATTATAATTCACATTGGTACAGTAAACACACGGTAACTAATCTACGGTTGAAGTTTATTCCCATAAATTCACTGAGTTTTCATTAAAGAAGGTCTAGTTCAGGGATGTCAAACTCATTCACTGGGGGCCACATCAGCCTCACAGTTGCTTTCTAAGGGCTGAAATAATTTTAGGACTGTATAAAAGCAACTACTCCTTAAAAGTTAAAGAGTTGAAATTACATTTGGCCCTTTGGAGGCAGCCTCAAGGCTGATGTGGCCCCTGGTGAAAATGAGTTTGACAACCCTGGTCTAGTCTGAATTATTAAAATGAAAACCAGTCCAGAATACTAAATGATTATTTACATTAGTTTATAAAAATAGATATGAGTTTAGGAAAAGTGAAACTAGTAAGTTTTCACTTTCAATTGCTCGGCATAGTAAATTCCTTGATTTTCAAAGCTGGCCCCATTTCCTTGGTTAGCAATGTCAATTTAGGCCTGGGGGGTGGAATTGAGGGACTGGTAACTGAACTGTTAATGTTCCAACCAGGTAAGTTACTAACTGAAAGAAACTAGTCTTTATATACAACCACTGATTGCTTAAGTAATGTTCGAACCTTCCTAAACATTCTGGATTCCATAATTATACTGTACAGCATTGATTTGCTTCCTAGCTATAAATAATATTTTTGTTCATTTAAACTTATGTAAAAACTAATTGGTCTGAGGAAAACCCTGCTTACAGTTTTATCAGTGCATTCTAGACTAGCAGATAATGTTAGTTAGTTGAGCCGACAAAGTTCAAAATCTAATACAATCATCAAAGCAATTAAATGGCATTAGGAAAAGAATTTAAAATCTTTTTTTTCTAAAGAAGGCTCTTTTTAAAAGTTAACTTTTTTTTGCGCTCTCTTTATATCTGGGCAAAACAACTTCATACGGCAGAATTTGCTTAAATGTGTCCTGTAAAACAGTGGTTCCCAAATGCTCTGGGGTGAAATGAGAAAAATAAGGACAACGGAGTGTCGTCGTTGTTGTTGTTGTTGTTTTCCAAAAAGCTACATTTATTCCATTTAAAGGAGTATCTCATTCTGAGATTTTCCTCTTATGAAAAAAATAATGGTGATAACACAGTGATTTCTTTCAGGTAACTTGGCAAAATAAATTGGTGACCTTGTCCATCTCAAATCTCTGAGGAACATTACTGGTCTGTGAACTCCAGAAATATGGGAGCCACTGCCACATGAAAGGCAGTTCTGCAGGTTAACAACTATCAAATAGGAAAAAGGTCCCATGATCAGATGTTTGGGAAGTCATGTGAAATTCTGTGGTTTCATTTCCCAAACATTCAACCACTAAACACCTTCAGATCCACTGTTAACTGGAAAGACGTAAAAATCTGAAGTGAACAATTCCAGACTTTAGAATTGCTACGACTTTCTTCAAATGACATTGCTGCTAGCATTTTAACAGAGTCTGGCCTATGACTTAGCTGAAGCTAAGGAAATGGTATAATCAACAACATTATCTTATCAATATTAAACTTTTAATATCAAATACATTTTTTGTACATTGTTACTAATTTATATAATTATAAAACAAACTCCAAAAGCTCCATAAAACCAGCAAGGTAAAAGCCCTTACTGAATATGATATAAATTTCAGATGTCACCAGGCTTGATTTCAGGAAAAGTCATTGGTTTTTGATACAAATTATCTACAAAACAATGTGGTATAAATGATATTTGAATTGTACAATAATGTGGCTACAATTTGCCCATTATTCTTTCATAGGTATCAGATGTTTAAAGTTCATTTCCATTCACATATTTCTGTTGCTGAAGCCTGGTTCTTCTCAAAGACTCGAGCTGCTTTGCTCTTAGCCATCGTTCTCTTGACAGTGTGGTCTGACCGGCACTGAGAGACAGAAACCTACGTTGAGAGAGAGAGAGGCACACATAGTTTAAGTCCAGACGCAGGCTGATAACGGTACTTTGTTTCTTCATTTTTAAGACCTAGGAATACTGGTTTAGGAGACAAGATTTCTAGGAGGGACGCAAAGTCAGACTTCTACAAAGGAATCTTTTAAGGCAAATTTGGAGGATGACTCAGTTTTAGAAGCTTAAAGAACAAGCAGCGTGCTGGGTGGTTCCCCAGAAGCATTCATGGGCCAAACACAATGCCACTTCACAAGGTGTTTTTAAAAGGAAAAAGTTCCTTTCTATTCTTAGAAGTCTACCTCAGTTATTCCTAAGTAAACCAGGGGCTGTATTCATGCCTCACTGGAACCAAGCTTGTACTGACGGGCACACTCACCGAGCTACAATGAGCAGCTGGTGGAGATCGTCAGCAGTGATGCTCTGAGGATCGTTCTTGCGCATTTCCACAAAGTCGTCTTCAACGGCCTTAAAGAGAGTAAAACAAAATTTTGACTTTATAACCATTCCTTAGCAGGAAACAACATTTGTATTTAACAGGGAAAAGGGAAGCAATGTGGTCCCTGACTGATGTTAACTGAGGAAGTCAGCCCTGCTTCTTAGACAAACGGGATGATGCGGGTGAAAGGGTAACCAAACTTTATACATATGGATAACGCCACTGAGGAAAGTATTCCAAACAAAGTGAAGCTCAGATTCATTTGAGAAGACCAGGCAAACAGACATGTCAGCAATGTGTGCGGTAAGCAGGACGCTTTTAAACACAGGGAACAATGACATCAGCAAAAATGGCAGAGTACAGGCCTCCGAAAAGTCTCTCCACCATTAAAGGGAATAATGGTAAAAATGATCAACACTAACTTCTTCAAAACGAAATCAACCAGACTCTTCACAGCAATCTGAGGAGCGTTTACTCAAGACAGACACTGAGCTTTAGGACTTTAACTTGGCCTATTTCCCAGCCCATTTCCCAAGTAGCCCTGGAAACAGACAGCCTGGCGAACCCCAAAGAGGGTAGTGGGGCCAAGAATGGTCATCATATGGCTGGTGGTTCCCTGGAAGAATCATTTGCAAAGCTGTCTTTAACCTGCCTTGAAGCATGCCCGGTGTGAAGAGCCTCTTCCCCCCCACAACCAGAGCAGTTATTATCTTGGCTGCCTCAGGCACTAGATAATATTGGGGCAAACAGCAGCTAACTGAAAGCCTTAAGAGGATAAATAGGGAATGAGATGTCTGCATGTATGTGAAAAATAAATTGCCAGAAATTCAGAAAGTCACATGCCATGCACAGGTCTGTGTGCATGCTCACATCTGAGCAGGCCCTAAGCTCGTGCCTCTGAATAACCTTGTGACTCTGCAAGCAGAAAGTGAAGGAAGGCTAGCCCCAACATGGATACAGGGCCCCTTGGCTGAGACTGGGCAACATCCTGCTTCCAGGCATCTAGGGACATTAAATTTCTATCCAACCATTCACCACTAAGCTAACAGCAGAGACTCCAGTGCCCACATTCAACAAAGAACACAAACCACAGACTTAATTCGGAGAAGTCATTAAAGACAACAAGCCTTAGGGAGGGAGGACAATCTCAGCAAAGGGGGAAGGCGGGGAAAGGGGAGAAAGAATTTTAAAGAAACAATAGTCAAAACTCACCAAATTTCTTGACAACTCTCCTAAAATGTGCATTAATCTGCACATCCAAGAGACTCAGCTCCAAGTGGGACAACTCACTGGGTGTGAAAAAATTCACACCTAGACACATCAGAGTTAAACTGTCAAAAGCCAAAGAGAATCTTGAAAGAACAAGAGAAAAATGACTCGTACAGAGAATCCTTTCATCAGAAATAGAGGCCAGAAGATGGTTGGAGGACTCTTTAAAAAAAGATTTTGTTTATCTTTAGAGAGAGGGAGAAAAACATTAATAAGCTGCTTCTCACACACACCCAATAAGGGAACCTGCCCTGCAAGCCAGGCACGTGCCCTGACAGGAAATTGAACGGGCGGCCACCTTCCGGTTCCCAGGATGATGCCCCACCCCTGAGCCACACCAGCCGGGGCTAGGAGGGGTCTTGATGAAGGTATATATGTGTATCCTTTTAAAAAAGAATTCTAGGTCCAGCAAAAACTAGTCTTCAACAATGAAGGAGAAATTAAGACATTTCCAAATAAGCAAAACCTTAAGAGAATTTGTCACAAGCCAATCTACCCTACAAGAAATACTAAAGGAAGTTCTTTTAGCTGAAACGAAAGAACACTGCAAAGTAACTGGATCCACATAAGAATCAGTGGTAAAGGGAACTGCAAAGGTAAATAGAAGCAGTCTAAATGTCTTTTTCTTTGTAACTTTTTTCTTCTGATTTAAAGATAACTGGATAAAGCAACCATGATAATGTTGATTGGACAATGTATAAAGACGTAATCTGTGTGACAATAAAGCACAGGAAGGAAGAAGGAAATTGTAAAGAAGCAAAGTTTTTGTGTATTATTATGATGACACTGACATTAATCCAAATAAGACAGTTAAGATGGTTGACTGTAGCTCCCAGGGCAACTACTAAGAAAAAAAGTATAAAAGACATGGAAATTCAAACTGTATACAGAAAAATCTACTTCAAACAAGACAATGGCAGGAATAGAGGTATACAGACCTAGAGAAAACAAATGACGAAATTACCTTATCAGTCATGACAATAAATGTAAGTTGATTAATAAGTACTTCGAGGTGACACAAGGAAATCCCTTGTTTTACCCCAAACCTACCTTGGTTATTTCATCAGATATGCTATAATCCAGGAGCCTCAGGAGGGTGAGATAAATGCGGAATTTGTTGAGCACAGAAGGCAGCACCGCTGAGAGAAGGCTGTTCATGTACTCCTCCATGTTCGGGGGGGTCAGCTGTGGCTGTAAGTGGACCTGGCAGTCTGCCTGGAAAGAGGAACAGCACACAGTATTTTCCAAGTCCCTAAATTCATAAAAATCTCAGGCAGGTGGACACATCATCTCTACCGCCCCTACGAGAACTGAAGAGACTATTACGGGAGAGGGGTCTACTTTTTAGCATTAAGTTATACTACACCTACCTCAGCCATCGTTACAAGTTAGCCTTTTCTTGGTTACTCAAGTTTCCTCAACAGTATCAGCAAACATATAAAAAGGTAGCCAGCCTCTACAAAGCAGCTAATTAAAATGTTTTAGATGTTCCTTAGTCATGAAATATGTATTCTCTATCTTACTCACACATTCCCACTAAAAACTTACCCAACAGGCCCTTTCATCCTCATTTACCAGTCGTTTTCTCGTGAATCACAGTGAACACGACTACACTGAGACACGCGATGCCCTTCCAACACCTGAGGGTATTTCTCACCATTAAGAGCCCTGTCCGCACCCTCGGTGAGGATACCAGAGCCTTTCACCATAAGGCATGAAAATCATTGTCAGGAACACTCCAGAAGGAACTCTGAAACACTGCTCACTCGAGACTGGCAGAAAACAGTGGGACAGAGGCAGCGAGAACAAGGTCTGGACGTTATCAAGCAAGTTATGGGCAGCTTCTACTTTTTATGCCTAGACATGGGAGTTCATTAGTGCCTTATTAATAATCAGCAGTTTAAATTTTAAAACAAGCTTAACTTACTAATAAGCAGTAGCTAAGAGAGAAAAAAATAGTTATCTTTCCCATATAACCTCTCTCCATTTAAAAATGACTCATCATACCGGTAGGAGCGATCTCCCCTCTGAAGTAATCAAAACATTGATATTGCAGGGGAATTCCATCTGGTGGTAACTGAAATCATAATCCACCTTCTGCCAAGTTATTAGGTTGCTCAGGGCAGTCACATTATGAACACCTAGAAAGGCAATAAAATGACTTTTTAGTTATTTCATTTTAATCACCTAAACAAATCACTGTATTTTGCCATGTAGAGCGCGCACATTTTTGCCCAAATTTCTGAGAGAAAAATAAGGGTGCACCATACACAGAAGCACATTGTACACAGCAAAAATAAGGTAGTTTTGCTGACACTGATTGTAAGACATGAGGTTTCTACTTTTTAAAAACAGTACATGAGACACTATCCAATTCACTAAGCTACGTGTTCATTTGATAATGGGCTTCCCATGTGGTATTTGTCACACTAGACCAATGTTATTTCTGGGGCAAAAGACCCCCCAAAATCTAAACTAGCATCTAGTATGCAAGTAGGCAAAACATAGGTTAGTTATAATTAGTTTTTATGCCGCGTGTTCAAGAAGGCTAAAATATCGTGGTGAAACTAAAATTCTATTTATCCATAGAGATAAGGTTACTGAATTTCACTGACACGCCACTCATTTTTGCCGTATTATGTACCCACGCTACACTGTTTTTAATTCTATCTTTTCCCATTGAACTTATCACCAGCGTAGTGTCTTAATTCTCATTTGAACAGATAAAGCTATTTGCTTTCTTTTTATAATGTTCCATAACTAAGATTAGTTCAAACCATGTGATCTACTACTACCCTTTTTTCTCAGAGATTCTTTGAAAAGATGTTTTTCATTTTCACACTGAGTGGTAAACAATGTTTTTTTGAGACCTTTTCTACACTTTTTTTAGGTAATTGTGACTAAAGGCAAAACCTCTTCCCTGTTCAGACTTTGGCTGTTCACAGCTTGCTTGTTCTATCATTAGACCATTTTCATAAAATGTGACAAAACACAGTTGAGGTTCACAATTTATAATACGTACGTGTTTCAATTAAATTCATGCGGCAAGCCTTTACCTTAAATATTTCTGAAATGTAAATCTTTGGTTACAGTTATTCTTTTAAGAAGCCTCTACCAGATCTGGCTCTCATGGGCCAGAAGTGGAAGGGAAACACAGTGCACGCACCCGGGGCGTCCAGCTGGCCTTGCTCCAGCAGAGTCTCATCTACCACGAGAGACGTGTTGCTGGGGAGCTGGAGAAGCCCGCTGACCAGGCGGTTGGCTGTGTAGTCTTTGTGAGGGATGAGTTTCAGGTGGTTCATGTTCTCTATTGTCATCTGCAGACGGAAAGACTGCAAAGAGAATTTTTAGTGAGCAAGGTGGGAAGTTTCCGGTTTTAAGAAAACATGTATTTAGGACTAAATACTGTGTTTTCTATGGAAAGCTCTTATCAATTCCTGAGAGAGTAGTCTCATGGTTTCTGGAGCTCTTTTAAGCAGAAATTGTACCTAGATCCTAAATCAGAATTTCACTATGAGCTGCTTTATTCTCAACTTGAGAAAGAATACTCAATTCTCAGTAATCTTTCAGATTAATTTTTATTTTACCAGTGAACCATAAACAAATACCCAGAAGCTGAACTTCTTTAACCTTCCACCGGGTAACAAAACAGAAAATGGTTATGTACTCTTCAAGATGGGGAGAGAAGAGCCTAAGTTTCCTCTGTGCTCTCTGAGTGCAAATCACAGTCATTCACCACAGACCACTGCAGATTCGTGAACAAACTGTTCCAGAAACACCAAGGCGCAGGGTGCACGGAGCTGTGGCTGGCACCGCCAGCCCCCAGTGCACTCACCCGAGCTGCAGGCCGCCCCTGCGGCCAGTCGTAACAGCACAGCATCTGTGTAAGCCCCGCACCTCCTCACCCACCTCAGGGGTACCCTTCCCAGTGCCCGCTGCACCCTGCTGTGCACTCGCTCTGCTCTTCCAGCTGTCGGGCGAAGCAGCAGTGCTGTGCTGGGGGCGGAACTGGGGTGGGTGAGGAGAGTGCTGAGGAAGAAACAAGGCACGTGTTCCAAATGTAAAGGATTTTTGTACTTTGGCTTCACTGAAGTCAAAGAAAATAAGAGAGGGAGGCCACATCACAGGTACAGGCAAATCCCCCCAAAGGAAGCAGAGCCCGTCAAACAAGGCGCAGCTCCGTGCAGGGTCCAGCTCCACGCAGGCAGGGTACTCGCTCCGTCGGGAACACTACACGAGTTGTTACAGAGGCGCACGTTCAGGTGCACACACAGGAGTCCAAATCACACAAGCAAATGCACCACTGACAGCAAGTACAATTTTGAGAGCGTAACTGTAACTGGGTTCACTATTAAATTGACAAATTTCTGCTAAGGCAACGGTGAAATGTTTAGGGGCGAGTGTATTTTAAATTATGGAGCTTGGCAGGCTGTTTCCCCATCAAAACATCTACTAAATCTCAAATATTTGGGTTGAACGAAGGACATTCAGATGGATTTTAAGTGTGCTCAGATTTATAATACATATTTATACCGATCTTACCGCTGGAACAAGATGTTGAATGATTCGATATAAGTGTTCCGTGAAGGTACTGTTCCGTGGGCAACCACTCAAGTTAACTGTAAATTTTCCTAGTGGAAGAATGTCTCTTCTTGTATACCTAGGGGGGAAAAATAGCAGCCAATGATACTCAAGTGATTTCCATAGAACAAACAAACATGGGAAAATTAACAGTGTCACTAAAAATAGATTATTCTGATCAGTACTGCAGTATAGTTTAGAATAGAAAAAAACTAGGAAAATCTAACATTTAGGGAAACAGTACAACCATCTATAATGAAATACTGTCCAGCCATTCAAAAGTTCATCAAGAAAAAAATTAGCCCTGGCTGGTGTGGCTCAGTGGATTGAGCCCGGGCCTGAGAACCAAGCAACCACGGTTCGATTCCCAGTCAGGGCACATGCCTGGGTTGCAGGCCAGTTCTCTCCCTCTCTCCTTCCTTTCCCCTCTAAAGATAAATAAACAAAATTAAAAAAAAAAAAAAAAAAAAAAAAAAAAGAAAAAAATTAAAGGCTGTGACTGAACACACATAACCTGACAGCGGTAGCTGATGAACTCAAAAACAGAACAACACACAGGAAAAGAGAAACTTAGAAACTATTTTTGTTATTAACCAGTGACTAATATTAACCAATAAACGAGCCAAGAGTACAACAAAAAAAAAAGTTCATCAAGAATTATGATGGAGCCGTGGCTGGTGTGGCTCAGTGGACTGAGCTGGCCTGCAAACCAAAGGGTTGCAAGTTCGATTCCCAGTCAGGACACATGCCTGGGTTGCAGGCCAGGTCCCCAGTAAGGGGTGTGTGAGAGGCAACCACATATTGATGTTTCTCTCCCTTTCTTTCTCCCTACCCCTCTCTCTAAAAATAAATGGAAATCTTAAAGTATTTTTGATGGATGTTTAATACACATTGAGTGGTAAGAGCAAACTGGATCTGCGTTTGGAGCGCAGCTGAGCACTACGTGGGAATGTGTGCAGTGTAAACAAAAACACGGTGTGAACGTGCACTGGGACGTGTCGATGGAGGTGGTCTCTGAGTGCAGCGCCTGCAGATGACTTCTGTTTTTCTTTATGCTCTTGGAATTTGTCGAAGGTGCACGCCTTACTTTTGAAATCAGAAAAGAGAACTACAGTGACGTGAAAGTGGGGGTGCCCACACCCACACGGAAGCTGGATGTGCACATGACAAACCCTGCTGACTATCAGACAAAGAGCCGTAGACCTACGAACACAGAATTCCAAACACAAAACGAATAGAATACACTTTTCTCCAGGTCCTTGATCTGACTTGGGCTTTTACATTTAAAGAGAGAATCAAAACGCTAAATGTGAAACTTAGAAAAGGTAGAAAAGGAATTTGATTTGGTCTAACAAAATCTTTGATCTGGTTTTGTTACACTGAACAAATAAACCACGTGGTGATGAAAACCTCGGAAACCTCCCTGCTCTTTCTCCCTTTCAACGAGTCCAACCCCTCGATCCCCACGAGGAACACGGCACTCACACGGTGGAGATGAGATGTAATATAAGGTATTCAGCAGCCAAACTGTCTCCCAGAAGGGCGTGGGTTAGGAACCCAAGCAGCTCTGCTCTGACCGGAGACAATTCGGACATGAAGCTTGAAACAACTGGAGAAGGAAGGGAGAGCAGATTCAGAATAAACACACCAGTTCCTCTCAAGTGTCTTAGGTTAAAAAGGTAACTCTGGAACAAAAAGTACTACAAGTCAGTAGACGACCAAAAACAACTTATCAAGATCAGTCAACCAGGGGTGCCAATCTTCAAAATGAGACAGCTTGTAAACTCCCCCGCCCCTCCCCGCCAGCCCTGCATTTTAGCAAAGGGAATTAACCTAAAGGCTGATGGGGCAAAGGAACAGTGATTACTCTGACGAATGAGGACCTCTCAGTTCCATTATGAGCGCATGTCACAGGCAGCTCCCAATACACTGGGGACAACAGTCTCTGGGCCACAGGCCTTAGCACTTACAGGTTTTGCTCTCCTCTTTGTTAAGGCAAGCTGGCAGTAATGGGTTGATGTGCTGCAGCTTCTGGGCCCACACCACATGGATTCTCGGCACTAAGGAAGCGGGGGGGCTGTGCACTCTCTGCTCCTCGGCCGTGTCTGTGCACTCCATCGGGTCCAGAAGGGAACAGGCGTCCCTGCAGAGGGGGACAGAGCTTGGTTCCTAGACCCGTCAATTGTGGATGTGTGAAAATAATGCACCTTGGAGAAAAGTGAGCTTCCAAGCTAGGAACAGTTCTACCTGTACATCTCCTTAAGAACCAGAAAATGGCTCCCCGTTCGTCACCCCCCAGCTTTCCGGGCGGTCTGACCGTGCAATGATACGTGTTCCACTCTTTGAGAGCGGCCCCATTTTTACGCAATGTGCTGTCACTGCGCTCAAAGGGATACAGGAAGTCTACTCATGTGGTTATTTCAAAAAAGGCTCTTGAGCCATCAGTGGGGACATTTGATAGGATGTCTCAAAATGCTGTGTCTTTTCCTTAGAAGCCACCAGGTATCTATTATTCAGTAAGTAGAAAATCCACTCATCTCTAGCCTGCTAACAGTTATCAAAAAACCCCAAAGGACTCACTTTTCCTCATTATTCAGGATACTTAGCACAGGATCCACAGAGAGTATGCCGTATAACTCGAGAACATCATTTACTTTGAAACAATCCCAGTCTTCATAGACCTAACAAAAGACCACACGACAACATGTTGTTAGGACTAAGTAACACCAAAAAGCCTAAGACAAAAGTCCTGAAGTAAAGTAATAATAACAAGCCCTGGCTGGTGTGGCTCTGTGGATTGAGTGCTGACCCATGGAACCAAAGGGTCACTGGTTCGATCCCCAGTCAGGGCACCTGCCTGGGTTGTGGGCCAGGGCCCCCACTGGGGGGGGCGCATGAGAGGCAACCACACATTGATGTTTCTTTCACTTCCTCCCTTCTCTAATTTCTAGAAATAAATCTTTAAAAAAATAAGAGAACAAACTAGTAATATTTTTTATTGTGTTTTAAATACAAATGAGAAATGGATTTTGGCAAGAGAAGGAAGAATGGTGGAAATAAAGTAGATATTAGAAATTCAGAAATAATATAGGAAGAGAGCAGAAAAACGGACCTCCCAAAGTTGTCTATATCCTAATTCCTGAAATCTGTGACTAATCCTTCATAAGCCTAAGTGACTAATTTAAGAACCCCAAGATAAGAAAATTATCCTGGATTAGCTGGGTGGACTCGATCTGAGCACCAGGCCCTTAAAACTGGAGAACCCTTTCTGCCTGTGGTCTGAGGGAGACGGGACTATGAAAAAAATGGTGGGAGAGAGGCACTGTTGCTGGCTATGAAGGCGGAGGAAGGGGCCGCAAACCAAGGAGAGGTGGGTGGCCACTTCTAGAAACAGTAAAAGGCAAAACAAAACAGATTCTCCCCCAGAGAAACGTAGCCCTGCCGACGCCTCGGTTTCACTCCAGGAAGACCCATCAGACGCCGACCTAAAGCCTAGAAGTGATACATGTCTGTTCTTTTAAGCCACTAAGTTTGTGGTGCCTTGTTATGGCAGCAACAGGAAGCTGACACAAATCCCGAGTTTTCCACTGCAGTTTCTGGACACACAACATGTCTAGGTCAAGGGCAGTCTGCGAAAGGCCTACCTTCACGAGGCATGCAGGGCCCTTCTCTCCCGGCAGGGGGAAGTTCAGGTCAAATGGGGGAGACAGGCTCCGGGAGCTCCGCTGTCGTCCGGTAGAAGCTTCCGTTTCCAGACGTTTCGGCTCGCCACACCACTGAAGACCACCAACATTCCCTAAATTCAAAGGAGAGCACTGCGCTTAGCCACTTCGAAGGCCTTCTGGAGATAAAGAACCTTCCTAAGGAGACTTTCCAGTCTGATATAAATGATGCTTCTGAGCTCACAAACTTTTTAAGGAAGTAACCCATATCAACAAAGCCCTTTGCCTGGCCTATAAGGAGAACAAAGACTATTATGATGATGACCTGAAAAATATAATCACCGTTTCTCCATTAAAATGGCGACAAATCCCCACCCCAATTTCCAGTGTAAGTACTCTTAAAAGTTAATATTTAATAGTGTTTCCTTGACATCTCGGACCTAAGGAATACATGACAACAGAACCACCTAGTAGAACACTGTTTTCTACTTAGTAAGCAGAATAAAACCACATAGCAATAAATTCATTTGCCAAATATTATTACCATCCACTATGTACCAGGAACCAGAGTAGTGGTTGGGGGTGCAAAGACGATTGAAAAAGAGCCTCTACCCCAAACTGTGACAGTTCAGGGCTGGTAACCAATTAGAATCGATACACAGCCTGCTGCACCGCAGGGTATGGCTCAGAAATAAAAAGGAATAAGCTGCTGACACACGGAGCCACTCGGATGGAGCTCCAGGGAATCCTGCTGAAAAGGGGCAATCCACGAAGTTAACATACTGTAAGATTCCACTTATGTGACATCCTTCAAACGACAAAATCACAGAGATGGAGAATAGATTAGTGGGCGCCAGGGTGAAGGACTTGGGGCGGCAGAGGCAGGAGGGAGGTGGGCATGCTTCTAAAAGGGCGGTATGAGAAATCCTAGTAACAACTGTCCTGTATCTTGCCTGCCTGCAGAAGCAGGCACACGCATCTACACGTGTTGAAACTGTATAGACTAAGCGCACACACAAAGGTGTGTGTAAAAAATGTGAATTCTGAACAAAGTCAGTGGATTGTATCCAGGTCCGCTTCCTGGTTATGATATTCTACTGTAATTACACAAGATGTTACCACTGAGAGAAACTGGGTCAAGGGTATACAGGATCTCTCTATTATTTCTTACAACTGCTTGTGAATCTATACTTATCTCAGAAAAAGGTTAAAAATATTTATAGCCTGAAAGACTGCCCAGAAACCAGCAAGTTAAACTACAGAAATCATGTACTTGAATGAAAAGTTAAATGACTGGCAGTACAGCATTCAAATAGGGGCGGAAAGGAGCAGCAAGTGCTTACGTGGTAAGAAAGAATTACCGAAGATCATTTACTGTTACAACGCACCACTAGTTTTAATAGACACTGGGGGTAGGTGGAGAAAAATACTACATGTGTCTGTATTTACTGTAAAGCTTTCCAATTTTAAAGACGGTAAAGTATTCTAGACTAATGTATAGTTAAATGAAGTTCATCGGGAATTCTCTGCTCACCGCTGACTTGTGCTTGCCCGCGCAACCCCATCTGTCGGAGCCCAGGGAGCTAACTTGCTTTGCCTCCTCTCCCTTTAACCTGCCATCTCGTTAGAGGCGTAAGAAGTGAGTGAGCGAACACAGAAGGACACACGAAGACAAGTGTATCCACCTGCCACAGCACAGAGCGTCGCCACGCGTAAAAACTGCAATCAGTGAGATCAGTAATGATACACAAATTGTGAAATTCTCTCACCCAGAAAATTTCAACGTTTGGTCTCTTCTTTTAATCAGAACCAGTTGTATTTTAAGAAACAAGCCACAGCAAACGTAAACAGGACAGAACTGCGCCTCTCCTAAGGGCCGCCTCCTTTCAAGTTTAGGAACAGGCCAACGCAGTGTGTCACAGCCGCCTGTGTTTCCTGGTGCTTTCAGTCTCACTGAGATTAAAGTCCCACTACTCCAAAAGACAGTAAGGGAGGCTGTTCTCAGACATAAATAAATCATTTTTAGGGTAAATCACTACGCTTGCACATTACCTAAGGGCTGAGAGGGAAGTGAACATAAAGGGCCCTGCTGGGTAGCTCAGTCTCAGAGCATTGTCCCCACAGGCCACGGTGTGGACTTGATGCCCGGTCAGGGCACAAACGAATCAACCAATGAATCAGTAAGTGGGACAACAAATCGATATTTCTCTTTCTCTGCCCCTTCCCCTCTCTCTACAATTAAAAGCCGTTTCAGCTAACCACTGCAGACCCTTAAAAATGGACAGCAGAGCAGCCATGTCTCATTCCACGATCCTAACTGCGCAGTCTGACCAGCGTCCTGCAAAAACTCTCCACCCTGCAATTCTGCAGTGCTTGTGACTCTGATAACCGTGAACGCAAGGCTGTCAAACCCCCTCTGGCTCCTGAATCCAGAGCTGTGTTAGGCAATGACGCATTCTGAAGATGGATCCAACGAGAGAGGGAGAGCGGAAGTGTGGAGGAACCCACCTGTCCGCCTGGCCCCCGCGTGCTGGTCTTTCTGTTTGTGAGGCTGTAGGTCCATGTCTTCATCGTCTTCATAACTCCTCTTGTGACGGCTGGGCGTGTACGACGTGGAAGGAGTGACTCGAGCTTGGCTGGCGTTAATGTGGGCGTTCAATAGAAGGTTAAGAAAAGACCACCGTGTACTGAGGAACATCCTGAGTTATGTTAATTATATGACTAATAAAAGACTGCTAAATTGGCAACGTGCTCAAAATTAAAATGTATTTTTAAAAGAAGGCTGGACTTCCAGTTTTGGTCGGCAGAACCTAATAGCTTAACCTGTGCCCCCCACTCCTGAACAGAAGTAATTACCAGGTGAACTCCACTCCATGCCCAGCTCTCTCGGGGGCATTTTCTAAACTGCAACAAAAGAGAAGTGACCACCTAATTGTTTACCTAATTACCATGGTAGCCTTCTTTTCCAATCTTTAAATCTGCCTTAAGCTTGTCACCAGCACCTCACTACAGGGAAGTGCCACAATTTTACCGTTTCTAAGTGATTCCAAGTGACGGATACTTGACTGCTTCACAGGCGTCCCCACCCGAGCCCCCACTTCACCGGAGTAAAAAGAGTAAGTTTTTGCAAACTTGAAATCCAAATTATGGTCTTTTCAATTAAGAAAATAATCAGGAACCATTTACTCCAAAATGGAGTGCAGATGAAGGATATTTCTTTTACCCACATGGATTCTCCAGGCACTGGAACACAATAGAAAGTCTGTCTCTCCAAAGTGGTGGTTCGTGGAGAATTTAAATCAACTTCCTGCTGAGGCTGGGATGTGCACAAAAAATAGTTTTTTAATTTTTGTTAAGAAAAACAAAATTAAAAAAAAATCACCACCATATTTTCATGTTATTTATAAAACCACAGTAAATTATTTCACATCAAGAGTTAAGTGAATTAACAAGCAGAACTGTCATTTTTTAAAGAATACTGACATACAATCATTTTGCATGCAGTAATCAGTTTACTGTCTTCCCTCAAATCCGTAATACACAGCATGCTACATTACAAAATTAAATCCTTTAATATACAGGATGTTTCAGACAATTCATATGGTAATCCCACTATCTCTGTCATAGGAAATGTATCAGAATCAGCCTATAAAAAAGAAATGTAACGAAGCACTCATTGTGAGGTAGCTCCAAGGTGAGATCTAAGACTCAGCTATTATTCCTTAGAAAAACATTCTCTATTTCACATGTACTTAGAAAGTGCCCAAAGGTAAAAGGTCTCAAAATGTACCTTTTAAAAATAAACATATCATTTTATAGTACAGAAAATCCTCTTAAAAGTAAGATGTACATTCCGTTTTGTGGGGAAAAAAGACCCAGAAGACACCACGTGCGAGCTCGAGATGGTATTTACAAGCTGGGTCTTCCTGTCTCCCTCTCCAGGCCTAAAGCCCCTTCCCCGGTACAGCAGCGCTTTTGCCCCCAACTCTTCAGCCACACGGCACAACTGGTTTCTCTGTGTCTGGCGGCGTCACAGCTGGACGGTCGCGTCTGTTTTACTCCCTACTTCCAGATGTGGAGCTGCAGTAACACCGCACTGTGTACTAGAAAAAGGTGTGTGTTCGCTGTCAGCTTAATGTGAGACTTAGAGCTCCTTCGACAGGAGGTTCGGTCAGCATTTAGAGGCTGAGTTGTCAACCTGGGAGAACATTTTACCCTATGGAAACACTGGAAGTAAACATACACTGGGAGACCGGAGGGCCAGCACATGTAAGATTAAACAAATTCATCTTTCACAAGCCCATTGCTCTAAATAATTGTAGGAAGTTACGTTTTTGTTTAATAAAATCTTTTCGGCAACTTCCCAGACTGTCTAGACTGGGCCACCGAACTAGAACACTCTGTTCAATGAGAAACAAATCCCATGAACAAATGCTGTGGGATTAGGCACTACAAACCGATCTAGTGAGGTTTGAGTAAGCAGGAATCTGACCTCCAGATTGAGGGGTGGTGATGGGGGCGGGCGGAGAAAGCCCTAGAAAACCTGACTAAACTGAAAGGATGGATCTGCAAAGCAGAGAATTAGACCTAGAATGGAAATGACTCTACCCAGCCCCCACCTTTGTGCTGAGGCCCGGCCTGCTCAACCCAATTCCAAAAATTGAGAGTTACTGCCGGTGTTTCAATAGGACCACATGGAAAATACACAAAGCGCACAAAATAGGGGACATTTTTAGTTAATATATTTATTTTGATATGTTGATAATCCTTTCTTACTATTAAACTAGAAATAAATGTATACCTTTCTCCAGTTACAATGCCAGGTATGTTGAACAGGTTCTGAATGAAGTTAAATTAAGTGTGTCATTCATTATCAGAAAAGTAGTTTCTTAAAATGCAGATATTATGTTCTACTGTAATTGCTCTTCTGTAAGTTCCTACTGCGACTACTCCTTTCACAACTATAATTACACCCAGCATTCCGCGTCTCCCCCTCCCCTGCTGAATATAAGAGCATCTACTGCTTCCTTGCATCAGAAAAGCTTCTTTTCCTCCTGGGAAAAGCAGGAAGATCTTGATCAAATTTAATGAGCGAGTGTTAAACCCAAAGTTAATCTTCCACTTTCATTTTTAAAGAATTTATCGTAACCTGTAATTTTTTTTAACCAAGTACACAGATCTTGGGAAAAGAAATTGGTTTCATCATTTGTAACATTCTACCTTCTAAGAGATTTTTAGAAGCCAAAAATGTAAAAGGCAAAAACATTTCACAGCACTTATTAGAACTTATTACATACAAGATAAATTTAACATAAATCAAAAGAATGTAATAAATTATCTGCTTAGGCAAAAATTCTTATTAATGTTTTATAGATCTTAAGGATACATACCCCACATTCTGCTATATCTCTATATTTTCCAAAATGAAGAACCTATGGCCCAAAAAAAAGGATAACAGAATTATAGCAACACATTTAATTCAAAACTACTGTAACACAAGAACAAAATTAATACCACTTATTATAAACAAAAAGTTCCATGATAAACAGCTATACATACACGTGCTTTTGTGTTTCGGTTAACCGTTTCGTAAACTCCCATGTAGAACTCAGGGTCGAACATATCCTGAATCATGCAGCGAAACTTCACAAAACTGTTAGGTTTCAAATAATGAAGGGGAACCTCATTCAATGATGGTACCTTAAAGGAAAACCAATCCGTCAATAAGGCATTGTGTCCACAAAACATCAAGTTCATACACATACACACACACCAGAACCACAACTACATGCACCAAACACAGCCCTGTTAGGAAGCCAATCCCGCCAACGGTCAACACAACATAGTAACTGCTGGGCAAAACGACTTCCAAGTTCTTCCAAGTTTGCACAGTGACATCTTACCATCCGGTAAATAAAGTACAAAGTACTTTTCCTTCCGATCACTTCTCGAGCAGCGGAAAGCCATTGGCTTTGCCGGGCTCTTCTTTTAAGACTAGTACATGCCAATTCTTTTTAAATGAGTAATAATCGAAGGTTTCACAACTACCGATTTTGTTCTCAGAACATAAGGTAGTCAGTTACTGCCACCTAGAGGCATCAATACAGAACATTTAATTGGCTGGCTAAGTTTAAGCTTAAGTTGCGAGAGACCAAAATCTTCTAATACATATCACTTACAGCAGTGAAGGCAGAAGGCAGAATACATTAATTTCTGTTTTAAAATTTATGTGGGTTAGTCCTCTACTGAGAGAATGGAAGTCAGCCTAACCCTCTCCCCCAACAAAGAATAATAAACTTACCCATTTAGGAGCATTATTTTCCTTCAGCTTTCCCTTAAAATATTCAATTACTTTCTTCTCCCAGTCAGGATTAACTCCATTTTGGGCTGAAAGACAAATATACTTTTCAAAGGCAAAGCTACAATATAAAATAACAGACCATCTTGGGCAAGTGCCAAGTTCACAAAGCCCTGCACACACAAAGCCAGATGCCACCCCCTATATTCTTAGTAAAAGCCAGCCTACAAATATCTTCTACTGCTGGACAATTAAGGGACTGCCTTATACCCCCCCCCAATCAAGTATACAACAGTAACTGCCCATTATTTATTAAGCCCCTGTGTGCCCAGCACTCCGCCAAGTTCTACAAGGACACTGAGAGCTGAAGGAACCCAGAGCAAAGACAAGCTAGGAGGCTGCAAGAGAAGCAGCCATAGCAAAGAAAAACTAACGGAGGTCAAGAATCTCAGAGAGCGCTTCTGACAGACGGGGTGTTGAGCTGGGCCTTGTAAGAAAGCAGAACTGAAGCATGTGGACACACACGGGATTGGCATGCTCTGGATCGGCGATTTTCAACCGGCATGCTGCAGAATTTTAGTAGTTTGTGTGTGCCATAAGATGAAAGAGGTGGAACATCACTGCTCTGGGTGTAGAGCAAGGACAGGATGAGTATCACCAGCGAGGTTCAAGTTCTCAGAGCACGAAGTGCCTGGAAGCTGCAGGTGGCCACAGTACCACAATCCCCCTGAAAACGAAGCCCTCCCAGAGGACAACGATGTGGGCGGCAGATTCCTGCAGACACAGTTTAACTGCTGGGCTGCATCTGAGCCTGACATAGCAGCCCACTTGTGACTTATATTGCTGAGACATGCATTTGTCTTTCCCAGCTTGAGTAGCTGGGGCATTTTCAACCACAGTCCTGCTTAGAGGACACATACCACTCTATCCTATTTCCTGGGAGTTCTCCGCCAGCTGAACTTGAGCACCCCTGCATGTGGCCTTACTCTAGTTTAAGGGGTCCAGGGAACGGAGGTGCTAATTCTTTGTGTAGACTGGATTAACTTTTTTGTCTGATATATGTAAAACAAATAGTTTCTCCTAATCTGTAGCTTTCTTAACATCCTGAATGGCATCTTTTGATGAGGCTTTCATCTTGATTAAGTCCAATTTGTCGGGGGGGTTTTTTCTTCACAGCCACAGAGCATTCCGCTGTGTAAATTTACCACATTGTTTTTCTCCACTCATCTACTGATGGGCATGTGGGCAGTTTCCAGACCTCGGCTGTCGTAAATAACACTACTGTGAACACAGGCGTGCTGCCTGGGAGAACACATTCACCAAGGATACAGCTGATAAGGGCCAATTTTCCTAAATATATAAAGAACCTATACAACTCAAAATCAGGAAGACAACCCTATTTAAAAAATGGGTAAAGGACCTGAATAGACACTTCTCCAAAAAGAACATACAAACGGCCAATAGACATATGAAAAAAAAAGTTCAATGTCACTAACCATCAGACTGATGCAAATTCAAACCACAATACAGTATCACCTCATACCTGACAGAATGGCTACCATCAATAAACCAACAAACGAGTGCTAGCAAGGGTGCAGAGGAAAGGGAACCCCCTCATGCACTGTTAGTAGGACGAGGACTGGCGTAGCCACCTCGGAAACAGTATGGAGCTTCCTCAAAAAACTAAAAATGAATCTGCTATCCGACCCGGCAATCTCACTTCTGGAAATGTATCCTGAGAACCCCCAAATACCGATTAGGAAGAGTATATGCACCCCTATGTTCTTGTCACCTTTCTATTACCATTTCTAATCTAATGTTACAATGGTCAGAACAAACCAGAGGATTTCAGTTCTTTGAGGTTTGTTAGTATTTGCTCTGCGACCCAGGATGTGGTTGACCTTGCTGAATGTCCCCTGTGCACTTGAGAAAGATGCGCACACTGGGGCTGCTGGTGCAGTGCACCACGCGTGTCAACAAGACCTGCCTAGCCCAGGGCGGTACGAAGTTTTCCTACACCCTTGCTGATTTTCTACCTGCTAGAGTTCTACAGGGTACTCAGTGAGGAGCAGTGAAATCTCCAACTGTAATTGTTGTTTTGTTTATTTTTCCTTTCAAGTGTCAGTTTTTACTCCATGTATTTTGAAGCTCAGCTATCAGGTGCATTTACATTTTATGTCTTCCCTTATGATGACAGATACGTGTTTTATACACTTGTCCAGAGCCATGGAGGGGCACACCACCAAGAATGAACCCCAATGTAAACTATGAACTTCGGGTGATAATGATGTGTCAATTAAGTTCATCGACTGTGACAAAGGTACCGTCTGGTGGGAGAGGCTGAAAATGGGGGAGGCTGTGCATGTGTGGGGGTGGGAAGTACACAGGAAATTTTTGTATCTTCCACTCATTGTTGCTGTCAATCTAAAACAGCTCTAAAACAATAAGGTCTTCAAAACCAGGACAGGGGAAAAGTAACGGAGACTCAAATGGAGGATGGATACACACACACACACACACACACACAGAATAATGGTTGTAAGTTATAACGAAGTAATGTAGCTAATGTTTATGAACTCTCAAGACTATGCCAGGCACTAATCTAAGGACTTCATATGCAGCATCTCATTTAATCCATATGACAGGCCTATGGAATCTCTTACACCCATTTTACAGATAGTAAAATATGTGTGGTTGCCTCTCATGCACCTGCTACAGAGGGTGCACCCAGGTATATACCCTAGACTGGGAATCGAACCAGTGACCCTTTGGTTTGCAGGGTGGCACTCAATCCACTGAGCCACACTAGCCAGGGCTCCTGCAGAGAATTCAAAAATAATAAAACCAACTAAAAGTCAGTCTGCTTTTATCAGCACCATATATTTGCAATTCTATGCAGTATCATAGATGAAACATTCTTCCTCAGAAAATCTTTTGTTGGTCTCACTCCTAAACAGTCGTTGTTACTTTTGAGTTTTAATGTGTATGAAAGTGTCAAATTAGCACAATTTTTACTACCTATCCTTTAATAAGCACTGAATTCTGCACATTAATTATTTCAGAGAATCACCCTCAGTTAGGCAGCTGACTCCCAGCACAGACTCAGCTCCGCACACCCTCCTGGACAGGAAAGCTCTAAGCGGTCCAGGACAGTCGATCGACACTTGCTCAGTGCACAGGCAGTACCCCCCAGCCCCCGTGGCGATCTGGAGTCCTACCTGTGTACAATTCATGGGAAGTTAACACAACACAGTGACTGGACAGATGACGAAGCAACCTGAGCGAGACAACTTGGAGTTTTTGCATTTAATCTTTAATACAGTGAAAGTATGAGAAATTTTAGCTCATACATGAAATAGTTTTCTGAATTTGAATTCTAGCTTTAATACTAAAATATATTCTTTTAAAACTGTTATTTGCTTTAAAAGTAAGGAATGAATCAAGAAAATGTTTGAATGAGTCGAGAATGAATCAGCGGATGATTTGGTAATTGCCTCACTTGTCTTTTGCAGAGGTTTCCATTTTATTTGAATTCTCTTATTAGTTGCCAGATAATTCTGTACATAAAATATTATTACATCAAACCATAACCAAAGACCAAAATTCAAGCTATTAAGTAGCTATAAATATTATGGGGTAAAGAATTGAGCATTTTTGTCCTGCAGGAATTTGGGGAGTTACTCTTATTTCAAAGAATTAACTGTGGTTAAAACAAAATTATTCAAATCTGAAGTGTGAAACCCACACCAACATGGAAGTACATTGACACAGTAGAACTCAAAACAACAAAAAACTCTAAAATGGGGGTGGGGGCAGGGGGCGGTGATAAAACAATGATGTCTGCATCAAGCTTGAAATACTGTAATTGTGTATAGCTCTGATACACGACTATTACCGAAAATAACACTGTAGTAAAAAGAAGGGAGTGTTAAAAATTACCCACCCAGGGAGCCGCCTACTCAGTGTAGGGTCCTGGGGTTAAGCAGCAGTCTGGCTCTCGAGTCTGTAATCTTAACTATTCTATGGTATAAAAAGAACTTTATAAAAGCACTACAGATTCAATGTCAGTTCTATCAAAATGCTGTCTTTTTTGCTGAAATGGACACTCTGAGTGTAAATTCACAGGGAAACACAAGGGACTCGGAAGAGCTAACGCTATTTTGAAGAGGAACAAAGGCGGACTCATACTTCCTGATTTCAAAACTTCATACAAAGCTACAGCAATCAAGACAACACGGTTCCGGCAAAAGGTTAAACATACAGACCAGTGGAATGGAACTGAGAGTTCAGAAACAACAGTAATGACTTGAGGGGCAGACAAAGGCGCCAAAACCATTCAGCAGGATAAGAAGAGACTTGAGTTGGCGAAAGCACCCGCATGCTGGGGGGGGAGGGAGGGGGCAGCACGTCCCAGTTCCCTCCATGGACAAAAGCTCCTGAACAAGGGATCCTTCTGGACCGCACCCTACATGCTTCCTCATCTGGTGGTTTATCTACATGCTTTACGCTTTTATAACAAACTGCTAAATGTGAAAAAGAAACCAAAAAACAAATGGTCCCGGGACAACTGGATATCCACATGCAAAAGAATGAGTTTGGATCCCTAGCTCACACAAAAATTAATTCAAAGTGGATCAAAGACCCTAACGTAAGAGCTAAAACTATAAAACTCTTAGGACATAGGTGTAAATCTTTTGCATCTGGCTTCTTTCACTTAGCACATTTTCCACACTTATGTCGTAGCATGTATCAGCAGCACTGGGTTTCTTTTCATCACTGAAAATAACGTTCCACTGTATGACACACTTTAACCTTCATTTAACGCCATCATGCTTTTGCAACCCTGTACAGATTATTTAATGAGTTAAAAATTCACATATACATGTACCGCCTTTTGCCACAGCTGCCCAATCTATTCATCTCTGAGAATCTGCCCCCCGGTTGAGGTGTGGGTCTCAACAGTCATGTCTGTCTTACGGACTGTGCTCTGGCCATCGCTGATCAGTGCAGGAGTGGACTCCTGACTCTGTGCTGGGCCAATCCCATTCAGCGACTCTGGAATCTGAGATTAAATAGAAGGTGCCGACCGGTGGGGGTTGGAACTAAGTGCAGGTGAATTTGGGAGCTGTGTGGAGATAAAGCTGCTCAGTTTCCTGCTAGCTTTCCAGCTCCTGATCCACTCTACAGAGTGGATCCCTCCACTCAGCGGTCTCTAAGGATACCAAGCCACCCTCCCTGCCTACGGATTTCAGACAAATTCCCTTTCTTTTTAGAGGTCTACCAAGGGCGGGATAGTAGGACAGATCTAAGGTGGGCACAGACAAAAGGGTGTGAATTGTGTTTGGGACCACAGTTGACAATGAAAAAGCACACTGACTTTTAGTCTACTTTCTTACCGCTTTAAGTCTTTTAAACCACTAAAAAACACTCCTTCCTGCCATCCTCCACACCCCACTGCTTTTTTGCCTGACATGCTCTATCTCTAGTTGTTAGATACAACTTAAGTACCTTAACTGTAACCAAAAATAGTGATCTTGACCCACCCAACAATCTGAGCAGCATACAGTAAAAGAATCAGAATTGATGAACATTCCCACTGCTGAAATTAACAGAGGTTATTAATTCAAGTTTTTCATCAACTTGAGTAAAGAAAATTTATTTTAAATAAATGAATTGTTAAAAGAAAAAGTGTACAGAACTGTCTTTTTTTTTTTTTTTTAATTAAGATTCCTGCCTTTGCTTAAGGAAGGCAATTGAATACGGGTCACTACATGAACAGGGCCTGGGGATCTGACTCATTAGCATCATGCACATAATAGAACCCAGCAGAGACCTGCTGGACTAAAGTATTCCTAATCTTAATGTAAGCCTTGGACTACAGGTCCTGGACATAAAATCTTTTATATGTGTGGAGTAGACATTAAATATTAAAGGCATTTTATGAAGGTGTAAAAAAATTTTATTTTGGGTTGGCTAAAAAGTCTGTTTAGGTTTTTTTTTTGTAAAATAAAAGACATTTTCCAATTTCACCAATAACTTCATCCATTGATTTGGGTATTTTAAGTATGTCAGCTGTCTCCCACTATTGGCTTCTAGTGGGTAGAGGCCAGGGGCACTGCTAAACATCTTCCAATGCATAAGCCAGTCCCACAGCAAAGAATTATTTTATCAAAATGTCAATAGTACCAAGAAACTTCACAAACCACTTTGACACATTAGATCAGTCATAAGAACCTTCTCCATACACTGCACAAATCTTTTTTTGCATTTCAGTTGCCTTTTTACCTTTCTTGAAATAATACAGCATAAAACACCGAAAATATTGCATATCATCTTCTACCTTCAATATTAAAGTAGGTACACAAAAACTCACCAATTTTGATTTTTTTAATGCATGCTAATATGACAGCTGTCACAATACCATCTACAAATTTGTTTCAAATGAAGTTAAAGACAACAAAGCACCCCTGGCTGGTGTAGCTCAGTGGGTTGAGCACAGGCCTGTGCACCAAAGGGTTGCCAGTTTGATTCCCATTTGGGGCACATGCCTGGGTTGCAGGCCAGGTCCCAGTGGGGGAGTGGGAGTGCGTGACAGGCAACCACACATTGATGTTTCTCTCCCTCTCTTTCTCCCTCCTTTCCCCTCTAAAAATAAATAGAGCCAAAATCCAAGGAACCCAAGATACATGCTAATTCTAGGACACAACACATAGGATTCCTGGAGTAGCATTGAGCAGGGGTACTTACTGAACTTAGGTTCCCAAAGGAAGAGTAAAATTGAGCCATGAAATGTGGAAGTGGGATAGAAAGGAGGACCAGGCAAAGGAAACAGCTGACGCAGAAGCCTAGAGGCAAGAGTCAAAGTCAAAGACAGGAAAGAGGGTTCCATGTGAGGACTAATGTGGTGGTGAGCTCTGAGAGCTAGGTAGGGATGGAATCAAGAAAGGCCTCATAACCCACAACAGACGTGCATTACTTTTCTATCTGGGGGAAAAACATTTAAAACAATTTTCTACTAAACCAAAGTCTAGAAGTTTAATACCTGACACCTCACTGAACGTGCCCATAGTGCTGTTATTAAACAGGTATTCAATATATTCACAGTGACAGGAAAATAGAGCAAAAAATACATACACATCAGAACAGCTTCTAGAAAAAGTCCTGACCACAAGACAATATTAGTTTCTTCTCTGTAGGACACAACCTAGTATGGGAACAAGACATTCTGGGGGGTATGTCCATCAGCAAGGCCCAGGTCCCCACGACTCACAAAATTTTATTTACAAAAAAAATTGTATTTATTTGTTTTTCAAGAGAGGGGAAGGCGGGGAGACTGGGAGAGAAACATCAATGTGTGGTTGCTTCTTGCACACCCCCAACCAGGGACCTGGCCCGCAACCCAGGCACATGCCCTGACCAGTGAGTGACCTTTCAGTTCTCAGGGCAGCGCTCAATCCACTGAGCCACACTAGCCAGGATAATTCACAAAATTTTCAAACTATTTTAAAGTCAGTACTATATGTACAAATTATAACCTTTCTGTACCATGATGAGATGTGCCCCTTCGGATCATACACTTAGAAGACAAAATCTGACACAAATACATTCGAATCTCTATCAAATATAAAATCTTCTCATTTATCCAGCACAACTAGGGTATGGGGTATTTCTCATAAATAAAATTTTCTCAAGACCAGTAACTGGAATTTCACTGTTAAGCCCCTAAAGTTTATACTTTTGAAGGGTTTTTCCCCTAAAGTATGTACCTGCACCCAGGTAAACCAATTGCGCAACTTAACTTTCACTCCACAGCATGAAACATTATTTTTTTATTTTATTTTTTAAAGATTTTATTTATTTATCTTTAGGGGGGAAGGGAAGGAGAGGGGGGGAGAAACATCAATGTATGGTTGCCTTTCTTGCGTCTCCTGCTGGGAACTGGCCTGCAGGGAACCAGCCTGCAACCCTGGCATGTGCCGTCTGAGAATCGAACCACGATTGCCTGGTTCGCAGGCCTGTGCTCAATCCACTGAGCTACACCAGCCAGGGCAGCATGTTTTGATATCAGTTATGGGTTCCAGTATTCATTCTGAACATCAATTACTAGGATTTGGTGGAGAGACATTTGCCCCTTCCTCAAAGCCCTTCTGATAGATACATAATGATTTTTCTGGCTGGTTTTAAAAATTACCTGGGCCCCAGCCAGGTAGCTGACTTGGTTAGAGCGTCTTTCCAATACACGGAGGTTGTGGGTTCAATCCCCCAGGTCAGGACACACAGAAGCAACCAATGAATACATCAATAAGTGGAACAAATCAATCTCTCTCAAATCAACAAGTAAAAATAAAATAAAATAAAATAAATTTAAATACACACATATAGTTTTCCATTTCTTCTTTGTCGAGTTGTCAGTGTTCACTGGCTACCACGAGGAAGCTTTACCAGGATTTCTTCTACTTTGCTGCCTTTTATTTCAGCCTGGGAAACCCGATAACTAAACTAGTTCAAATTATAAGAAAATGATAGTGTTGCTCAATGCCTCCCTCCAAGAAACAGGAGATACATTTTACACCATCAGTTTTGGCTTCTGGGGACTACTTAGCCTCTTTCTGGACGTTCTAATATCCCACGATGCTTTAAACGAGTTAGGGCCACTCTACAGTTTTAAATTATTTGCAGACAAATAAGGTGCTACGGATCAAACACAGTGATTTGTGGTTGAGTGAGTTTGCCTCCACTCCCAACTGTAAGGGAGGTGTCAAAATGCCCAGTTCACCGACAACAAACCTAAACTTTCCTTCCCGTACCCTTAGAGAAGTAGTATTAAATTTACTAAGCTGGTCTGCAGCATCATAAGCTCTTTCTAGGTAGAAATTCATCTGAGTAATTCAACATTTCTGGCTAGTTCTGGCACAGGGGGTGTATACCTAGGCAGGTTTTAAAGCCGCCCTACCAGAAAAAATAAGCTGTTACACGAGATCTTATCTCGAAAAGGGAGGATGTGTGTAATAGTAGTTAGAGCCAACTTCTGCGGCCAGCGAGCCAGCACTCCCCCGGCGCACCGGAAGTTTTGAAATATCCTGCAGGCTTCCCCAGGCAAAGTGCTCGTCCTTCGCCCCATCGCTGTGGGCCCTCTCGCAGGTCCGGGGACCTCTCTGAGTTCTGCGGCGCGCGGGGCTCCGGCCCGGGTCCGGGCCCCGGCGAAGCCAGGCAGGGGCGCGCAGCCGTCAATCACTGCCCGCCTCCCGCTCCTCGCGGCGTAACCTTGGCCGCCTGCGGATCGCGAATCCGGCAGGTGGGAGGCACCTGCGGCCCGACCCGGGCAGGGGGCTGTGTGCGCGCCGGCGGCGCAGGCCCGACTGACCATCTGGGCCGCGGGAGCCCCCAAGACAGTGCCCGCGTGGGGCCCGGTTCCCCGCACAGCAAACTCGGCGGCCCGCCCCGCCCCCCGGCGCCGCCACTCACCGAAGAAGCCCTGCACGATTCCGAGCGGGTGGCTGAGCCAATCTTCCCCACACGGCATCTCGCCGGCCGGCGTCCCGCACCGCGGCTCTTCCTCGGGGGCTCGGCCGCGCCTCGCCCGCACTCTCCCACGCAGGGCGAGACTCGTGGTTCCGGCCGCCCGGCCTCAGGGAGCGGTGGCAGCGGTGGCGGCGGCAGCCCAGGAGCAGCAGGCGACGGGAAGACTGTGCGAATAGGTCCCCAGCCTCCACTTCGCACAATGGCGGGAAATAGGCGCCACCGATCGCGCTGCTTGCGACCTGGGTGGAGCTCGCGCGGGAGGGGCGGCGGGAGCGCGCCGCGCAGCCCCGCGGGCCAGGAGGCGGGGCGGGCCGGCTAGCCCGGGGGCGGGGCGGGGCGGGGCCGCGCCGCCGCGGCGACGCACCGCCATCTTGGAAACGGGCACAAGGAGGGGCATGCCGACCTCGAGGAGACTGGACCGCACGGAGCCGGGCGTCCCGCTCATCGACCTCCTGGGCAGAAGTGAGGAAAGAAGCTCCTGGAGTCCGATTTATCAATTCCTGGAGCGAGGCTTTGGGACAACAGCCCAAAAAGCACAACCCCAGAGAGACCCCAGGCTCATCGATCGCTGGGCAGAATTAATGGGCCCAGCAACCTTTGGAGCCCGCCCACCGCCTCTTTTTCCCCCTAAAAAAGTAGCAACTTTTTATTCTCTGGCACCGTGTCCAAAACCCTATATAGTGACTTTTCCTCAGCCTGATAAAGTCTTAGCCACCGAGGGAGGTCTACATTTAGAAGAGGGGGACTTTGGAAGGCCCACACCTCTTTTGCTGTCACAGGCACTGTGGGAGAGACACTAGTTCCTGAGAGCCAAGCTCCAAATGGGGACCACACCCTGGTCTGCGACTGCCCAGAGGCCGGAAACAGGAGCTTTGGCGAGGTCCCTGCAGAATGAAGAAATTTGGAAAATACCCAAGTTCACTATGTTATTGCGAGGCCTAGAATGTGCCTGAGAAAACTCCAGTCTCATTAGCTGAACTCAGGGCGTGTGAACAGGAGCGTGATCCGAATGGAGCCTGGAAAGCGGGGAGATGAGAACAAGAAGTGAACTCGGATTTCCAGCCCACCTTAGGGCAAAGGGAGGTAAATTTGTGTTAAGGTGCTCAGTGCCGCAGGCTGTGAAAGAATTCACAAAGACAAGAAAGTGTAGAGAATAAAGTTATTTATTCACTCTACAAGAAAGGAGAGGGGCTTGGTGTGGAGAGATACACCAGCCTTGAAGGGTGGGGGCTTTGAGCTTTGATTGGGTTATAATCAGATTAAAAAAATGGTAGGGGCCCCTGCTGTTGTTGGCCCCTGGGCAGTTGGGGGCGTTGTAACGAGGCTGCAGTTTTTTCCACTGTGATCTGCCTGTGGTTGTAGGGAATGGTTAGTTCTGTTTTTGCTTCTGGTCATTTCCTGTCCTGGGGACACAAGCTCAGAAGAGTAGAGTGGCAGCCATGTTTACCAAGGGCAGAGGCCAGCTAGGCAAACGATGCCATGATAGCAAATGGGACTGGCCTTTGTCCTTTCAATTTGTATTTCTCATTGTGAACTAATTAATTGGCACACTGGGTTATAGAATACATTTAGCTCTTCTGAATGTGGATGAGTGAGTGTGGATGAGTTTCTTCTCCGTGAGAAAACTGTTACAAATTTAGGGCGTTACCACCGCTTTTCTCATTCATTCATTTGTTTAGCAGAGAGGGTTGCCAAGTCCGTAGTATTAAATGAAGACTATTCCCTTTTGCAGCTTCCTGGACAGTGATAGGCAAATTACAGTTGACCTTTGAACAATATGGGTTTGAACTGCTTGGGCCACTTTTACTTGATTTTGTTTTTCAATAAATACACAGCCCTCTGTATCCCAGAGTTTTGCATCCTCAGGTTCAAACAACTGTGGTTGGAACTGACAGAGTAGGAAGTTAGAAAGACATGAGCAGAGTAGGAAAGAAAGAAAGGCCAGGTACAGAAAGTCACCAGGGTGGAAAGCCTTGGATACCTAGCAAAGGGCAAAACTAAGCTGGGACCTTGCCTCCAGGGTGACCTTCCCTTCTCTAGCATATTGATGGTCATGTGGTTTTGTAACAGGGCGCAGCCAAGGGGGGGGGGCCAGAAAAGGATTTGGAATGGGGTTCAGAGCTCAGGGTGTCCAGGAAATATTAAGATGTCCTCACCCCCCCCCAAGGTATCAGTTGGGGGAAGGGACAAATGGAGCAGAGCAATTTTGTCCCTTTTTGCTATTTTGCTATGCAAACCATTAGCAGACTAATGGTTTGCATAGCAACAGTTTCGCAGATAACCTCTGGCATGGTCATTTAACATCTCTATAACCTTTAACTAGTTTCATAGATATGTTAAATAGCTGTGGCCATGCTTTGAGCCAGGGAGAAGGGAGTGGCTTCTACCCAGGATGTGACTGGGGGCAGGTCCCCCAAGTTACAGTGCCTGTGTGAGAGCTTGGAGTTGATTGGGGCCATACCTGCTCAGACTAATGATGGCAGCCCAGTAAACTTGCGATAATATGGGAGTCCTGGCAGGTGTAACTGATTGTAGGAGGAGTCGGAAATGGGGCTGCAAAGGAGGATGGGTGCGGAGATTTAAACCCAGACGTGGCAACCATTGAAAAGAGGAGAACCATGCGGTTTTGGCCAGAGTGCAGACCCCTGCAGACAGGTGAAAGGGAGAGCCACAGGGTTTCAGCAGAGTAAGGGTCCCCTCTTGGCCAGGTGAGGGGAGAGCCATGCGGTTCTGGGCATAGTGAGGGCTCGCTCTTGGCAAGGTGAAAGAGGGAGCCACGCGGTTTTGGCAGAGTGCAGACCCCCTCTTCCCCAGGTGAAAGGGAAAACCACACAGCTTTGCCAGAATGGAGATTCCTGCAGCCAGGTGAAGAAGAAAGACACATGCTTTGGGTGGAGTGCGGACCCGTGCAGCTTTGGTAGAAGAGGCCCACGTGGCTTTGGGGTGCCCCCTTTGGCTGAGTGGCCTGGGAAGCAGGAGAGACTTTGACTGGAACTTGGTACAAAGAACTCTTGCCAGTGGACCGTGAGAGGGTACCACATGACTTTGGATTAACTAGAGATCCTGCCTGGATGGTCAATACAGCTGATGGTGCCAGCGGACTGAAACACAGACGTGTGTTCTTTTCCTGATTTACGGTACCTGGAGTTGGGACAGTTGGAGAAGGGAGTGCTGTGTGGGTGTAGGTGTATACCCTAAAGGACTTTAATATTTTAGTGGAGGCATTAAGCCTGAATAGCATTAAATAAACATTTTGCTTCCTTTTCACAAATCTCTGGCATTGAGAGATGTCTTTCCAATTGGCGGTAGACAGAAGAGCCCAGTAGATATTAGTATACTGTCCTTGGGAGGGGCCCCTGTTATTCTGTAGCAGTTTTTGGCATTTCTGGGTGGGCCAAATATTGCCTGCGCCTTGGGCCTCTTGTTCTGTAACAGTTTAGACCGCCTGACCATTCACATTGCTGGTCACGAGGTTTGGACTCTCCCCTGAACTTTCCTCCTCTGGCACATTGCTGGTCCCCTCTTAGAGGAGGAACAAAGGGGCCAGAGAAGAGCCTTAGATGACTTCCATACAAGCCCTGGCACAGCCACTGCCATAAGCATTAAGCCCTCAAAATAATGAGATTCTACAGATAGTGAGCTTCAGAACAAAGCCTCGGATTTGCTTTGGTCAAACTGGAGATAACATTATTCACTTACGACTGTGAAAAGTTCCAGCAAGAAAAAGTGAAGTTCTGTTAGAGGGATGAACAGCTCCATCTCTTGTCCCCAACAACTCTTGTTGTCCCCAAATGCCTTCGAATTTCACTTCAAATGCCAGTGCTGCCACCAAATCTGTTAAAGAACAAAAAATGAACTGAGTAAATTTGAAGATGTAATTGGCTTTACTGAAAAATTCATGAATTGGGCAGTGTTCTATTTAGTAAATGAGAGGTTCTCTGAGGAGCTGTACAAAATGGAAGGTTTTTATGGACAGGAAAATGGGACAAGGAAGTTATTAGCAAAAGAAAAAAACTGTTTCAGGCAAGGTCACACTCTTTTAATCTGAAAACTTATATCCTTCATTTCTGGGAATAGTTTTTTTTCCCCTTTGATGATTTCCTCCCCTGCATTTTCTCTGTCTCTATTCATAGCAGAACTCTAAATAAATATTCAGATATGGGCTCTCCTTGCCTACCACTCTAATTTTCTTATGTTCATCTCCTAAGTTTTCATATTGTTCTTTTTGCTTTATTTTTTGAGGGATTTTCTTACATTTATCTTTCTTCCGTTGACTTTACTTTATTTTTCAATAAATCTCTTTCCCTTTATTCTCTTCCAGCTAATCAACAGGACCACCGAGCCACAGCACTGTTACTGACACACAACATTCAAAAGTGGGGGGCTCTCTTGCATCCAGGAAGTATCAGGTGGGATACGTGGTAAACCAAGGCAGGGAGGAGGAGGGCGACAGTCTCCCCCGTCGACTTGTACTGGTGCAGCCAAGGTGGGAGGCCACCAATTGGGGATTTGCAATGGGGTCCAAAACTCAGGGTGTCCAGGAAATAATAGAAAAATATATACATATAGGATGTCCTCACCCCCACAAGTCTAAGCTGGGGGGTGGGACACATGGAGCAGGGCCATTGAGAGCATAGCAACAGTTTTGCAGCTAACCTCTAGAACGGTCATTTAACATATCTAGAACCTTTAACTGGTTTCATGGATATGTGAAATAGCTATGACCATGCTTTGAGCCGGGGGGACTGGAATGATGCAACTGGGAGGCAACTCCCCCTGGTTACTGAGGCTGCGTGAGAGCTTGGTGATGATCGGCACCACACCTGCCTGTACTTAATATGGCAGCCTAGCAAAGTCGAAAGAATACGGGAATGCTGGCAGGTGTAACTGATTGTGGGAGGAGTTGGAAATGGGGCCGCAGAGGAAGACTGGCCCTGGGATTTAAACCCAGGTATGGCATCCATGTGGGCTTTTTGGGACCACGTGGCTTTGGCAAAAGTTGGGACTGTGCAGCTTTAGGGTGTGCCCTTTTTGCCATGTGGCTTAGGAAGCAGGAGAGACTTTGCCTGGAAGAAAAGGGGTGAAAGGTCTCTTGCTGGTGGGCCATGAGGGTGCCACATGGTTTTGGATTAGCTGGAGGACATGGCGGCAACACAGCTGATGGTGCTGGAACTGAGGGGCTGCCTGAACCATGACTTCTACTTCTTTTCCTGAGCTACAGTACCCCAGACTGGGCAAAGGGGAGGAGGAAGGACTGTGTGTTTGTGGGTATCCTAAAGGACTTTACTATTTTTAATGAAGACATTAAGTCATTACTCTAAATCTGTATAACTTTTCAAATAAATAATCCCTTTCCTTTTCACCAATCTCTGGCATTGAGAGACATCTTTCCCTGGCGGTGGGCAAGGCAAACCTAGTACGGGGGGTGGGGTACCCCTGGAGCACAAGGGTGGGTCCATTTGGTAATAGTATGTCATTCGAACTGCGTGCCTCCCCCCCCCCCCCCCCCCCCAGGTCTGTTCTGTAACACACTCAGTAGTCCTGAGCCTGGTCCAATAAGATTGCCTGGTGTTAGGAACTTCACAGCAGGGATAGTTGGGAGGAGGGGAGTGCTTGAGACTCTGTGACAATTTCACTAAGACAAAGAGCCTTTACTAACTGAGAAAGAAAGCCTTTGTAGCTGCACATTATTCCCAAGGTTTAAAACGGGAAGACAGAGGGGTACCAGGAAGCTGACTAAAGTGTGTAACCCCTGAACCTCAACAGTTATTACTCAGATTAGCTGTGTGCCCGCTCGTAGGCTTGGCTCAAAGCATATAGAACAAACTTACTAACAAACTTATTAACCACTTTATTTCCTCTACATGTGGGGCATTCAGTCTAGCCCGGGGGCTGTTTGCAGCTTCATGTTCATATGTATTTCTTAAATAAACTTGCTGTCTCATTTCCACTGTGTGTGTGTGTTGTCTCACTTGAATTCATTTCCTGTGAGAGGCAAGAACTGAGGAGCTGGCAGGGTGGACCCCAACTGGGGTTTCTCCCTATAACAAAGGTATTGACCTTTTTTTGGTTTCCTGAATTTCTTTTCTTTAAACTTTTTTTATGCTCAATGATTTTAGAGAGAGGGGAAGGGGATAGAGATAGAGGGAGAGAAACACCAATTTAAGAGAGAAACACCCCTACTGGGGACTAAACCCAAAACCTAGGCATGTGCCCTGACCAGGCATTGAACCTGTGAACTTTGGGTTTACAAAACGATGCTCCAACCAACTGAGCCACATTGTCCAGGCTGCTTCTCTATTTTAAATATATTCTGATGCTATTCTTGGTTGCTGATTCTCTTATCCCTCCGAAGATATTATTCATAGATATTTTAATGTTTTGCCTTACTGTGTGGGCTGTTTCTGCAAAGTTGCCATTTTTTGTTTCTTTGACTGTGTCTCATTTTGCTCTTCGATGTTAAAAGATCTCAGCTACGTGGTGATCATATTTATGGTGTGGAGACTAAGAAAGTGGTTGGGAGATCAGAGCATTTACACAGGCCTTGGTGAGGTTTTGTTGTTTCATTTATATAAGTTTATTGTCGTACAAATATTTCATAGAAACAGCAATGTATGACGCAAGGTCAGGGGAGTAGGAAATGACTTTAAAATGTAGGTTTGGCCCTGGCTGGGTAGCTGAGCTGGTTGGGGCGTTGTCCTGATCTGCCAGGGTTGTGGGTTTGACTCCTAGTCGGTCAGGGCTCATCCAAGCGACCACCAATGGGTGCATGATGAGGAAAGCAGTGACTCAGTCCCTCTCTCTCTCTCAAATCAATAAATACAAATTTTAGAAAACAATAGAAAATGTAGCTTTGTACATGCTGTTCTGTTTACACAAGGGAACAGGCTTTTCCAACGTCAGGCTGGTCCAACACGTGAGGCTACAGCAGCAGCAGGTCTCTTCTGCAGGAAGTGTGTTTGCACTGTTTGCACGTTCAGGAGCAGTGCAAATAAGAGTTCAGGAGCCACCCAGCAGGAACATCTGGGGCTCATTTTGAGCTGAGGTGAGGTCAGAGGTCCAAAGCAAGTGCTGACAAAGTACTTGGGCAGGTGGAAGGTGTGCTCTGGGGCATGTTATGAACTTAATTATGGGGTGATCTGGCCGGGCTGTCCTACTGGGCAACCTTGACTTCAGTATCTCTTTCGTTCCCATAACCCAAAGACAATTCTTCTAATATCCTCCTGCCTAGAGGTTGAAGACCTGGCAACAATGTTTCTGTTGTCGAATAGATACATTGGGCTGGGTTGTGGGGGAAATTGTTTTATTACTCAGTATGTACATATTTGCTTAATCTTCATTTTGTTTTATCCTCTCCAGAAGGGAAAATTCACGGTCTTCTTCCAAGAAAGGGGTGGTTTATGTTCCAGTTACTCAAGTCGGGGAGGGGACCTAACTGCTTCTTAAACAGTTTCAACCAATCCTCCTAATAATAGGACCTCTCTCTTCCCCGTCACTGCCAGTTCCAGAGGTGCCTGAGGTTATCAGGTCCTAAACCTTTAGGTGATTCCATGATGCCAATAAAATTGCCCTTGAGCTTTCCCCGTAGTTGGTTTCCTAAACCAGCTAGTACTTGTCCATTTGGGGGATGCCTTCCAAAATGTTGTTGCTGCAGCATCCTCTCCCATTCTCCTTATCGACTGGTGCTTACAAAACCCAACCCATTTGTGTTTTCAACAGTTTTAGGAGAAAGAAAATAAAGATACATCTGTTCAATCTAGTATCTTTCCCTGGGAGCTACCCCTAGTTCTGCTCACTCCAACCGCGACCACTCTATAGCCTGAGCCAGCACCGTCGCTCAGCTGGTCCACTGCGGCAGCCTGTGGACTTCTCAGCCTAGTCCCAGGCTGCTCTTTTCTGACCTATTTTATCACACCAAAGTCAGAGTGGATTTTCTACAAAGCAAGTATTATTATTTCTCCACCCTCCTTTACACACTTTTTTGATTCCCTTTTTCTTTTAACTGTAAGGCCGTGCATCATCTAGCCTTGATCTGTTAGTGGTGATATGGCACCAGAGAATTACTGGTGATTGAAACTCGGTTCAGCAGCCTCGATACTTGAGCTCTGGCTAAAAAAGAATTCGGAGTCAAGACTCAAATACAAGCAAATTGTAACAGTACAATCAGGCCCCCCTCCCAATAGGGATTTGTAGTGGGGTCCTGAACTCAAAGAGTGTCCAGGAAATATTAAAAACAATACAGGATGTCCTCAGCCCCACAAGTTTGGAGGATGGGATGCATGGAGCAGGGCCATTGAGAGTCGCTCTGCATAGCAACAGTTTTGCAACTAACCTTAGGCATGGTCATTTAACATATCTATACTTTTGACTGTTTTCATGAATATGTTAAATAGTTGTGGCTGTGCTTTGAGCCAGGGAGATGGGAGTGATTTCAACCCATAATTTAACTGGGAGGCAACTCTCCCTGGTTACAGAGCCTGCATGAGAGCTTGGAGATGATTCGCTCTATGCCATGGGGTCATGCCTGCCTGGACTTACTATGGCAGCCCAGTAAAGCTGGAAAAATATGGGAATGCTGGCAGGTGTAGCCAACTGTGGGAGGAGTTGGAAATGGGGCTGTGGAGGATGATTGGCGCTGAGATTTAAACCCAGGCACGGCAGCCATGCTGGTTGGGACCACAAAGCTTTTGGCGAGAAAGGAGAGTCACACGGTGTGGGGGCTCACTTCGCCACACAGCTTAGGAAGCTGGAAAGCAAGATGTAGTCGTAATGCAGAGCTCTCTCCTAGCAGTTTGGAAGAATGCAGGAGAGACGCTGTGGGAAGGGGGTGAAAGGACTCTTGCTGGTGGGCCATGGAAGGTGCCATGCAGTTTTGGATTAACTGGAGACTATGGTGACGACACAGCTGATGGTGCTGGGAACTGCAGGAGGCCTGCCAGCCAAGCATGGACTAGTGGGAATAACCAGGGCTACTCGAGCCACACACCTCTGTTTCTTTTCCTGAGCTATAGTACCCCTAACTGGGCAAAGGGGGAAAGGAAGGACTAGGTGTTTGTTGGTATTTTAAGGGACATTGGGGTCTTAATGAAGATATTAAGTCATTACTCTAAGTCTGTATAACCTTTGAATAATTAATTCCTTTCCTTTTCACCAATCTCTGGCATTGAGAGCTATAATCCCCTGGTGGCAGACAAGGATACTCTAGTTACAGGGGGACCCCAGGAGAAGTGGGGGGTCCATTCAGTAATAGAATATCATCTCACCCTGCCTTGGGTCCGTTCTGTAACAAAATGTTTATTTAGAAAGTCAAAAAGGTACAAAAAGTGAGCCAGCTGGGCTGTATGGGCTCAGGAAATGAATTATCGAAGCAAAAGAAGGGGCTTTTGGAGCTTAGGAGAAAGAAAGCAAGGATCTAGATTCCTGGGGGAGGAGGGGGCAATGTTTGGATGTGAGAAAGGGGCAGCATTCACATGGGCTGGGGCCTCAGTACTGGGGTTTTTATCCTCTCTAAAGGTGGGGACCTCAGGGGAGGTCCTAGAGGAGGATCTCAATGAAACATTCGTCAGCTTTCCAGGTGTGTCCTTTCACGGTCACGGTCTCTGCTGATTGGCTGGCACTAGAGCAGGGCGTCTTTAGTCATCACACTTGGTCCTGATGTCAGCTGTGGCATCGCCCTGCCAGGCCTTGCTGCTTTTCCGGACCTGGGGCTGAAACAATGGAAGCCTAGATGTTATCTGTAGTTCGACCAAAACTGTCTCCGACTTTTGGTTAAGATGGCGGCATAGGTAAACATGGCTTGCCTCTTTGTAAAACCACAACAAAATTACAACTAAAATATAGAACAACCATTGCTCAGAACCAACAGCAATTGAGTTGAATGGAAGTCTGACAATCACAGAATTAAAGAAACCACATCCATTCAGACTGGTAAGAGGGGCACAGATGCAGAATGGGCTTTTACTCATATGTGGTGGAGAAAAATTCAGGAGGGATATCTTGGGGCTGAGAAGTCCCAGCCCCAAACCAAGTCCCCCAGCCCAAGGTTCTAGTGCCAGGAGGATAATTCTCCACTTACCCAGCTGCAAACACCAGAGAGGATTGACTCAGTGGAAAAAACTTCTGGAGCCCCAAGCAGTTCCCCTTAAAGAACCTACACATAGATTTATCTACTCAGACTCACTCCCTCTGGGTTCCAGCACTGGGGTGGCAGCTTGAGTGGCATCAGTGGGTGCAGGCAGGGGCTGAGGTATCTGGCATCAAGGTGAGCAGAGGCCATTGTCCCTTTGCTGAGCCCTTCCCCCACAGAACTGGCAGACTGGTGGCATAGCTAAGATTCCATCAACTTCACTAACACTGTTTGACCTGCCTTGGAGATCCCCAGAGACCCTGCTCCATCCAACTTATAGGCCCATCCAAGCCACTTTTCCATATGAATGGCTGGTCTTAGCTCAAGCTGCACAACTTCCTAAATCCTCTCAAATGGCAGTAGCTGTCCTCAGTGATTCCCAGGCCTGGAGTTTGCAGCTTCGATGCACAGCTTGGCTTCACCTGGAAATCTTCAAGCCCAGTACAAGAAGCAGCCACCTCAGATATCTTTATAACTCAGGCAGGGTGGCCCCAAGTAAAACACAGGTGGGGGCTGATCTTGGCCTGCACCATCCAGGACCCCCCAGGGGTCAGTGCACCCAAGTGGACAGCTACAGACCCTGTCAGAGCACCACCACCCTGTCCCTGCACAGCTGATCCTCCATGGAGGGCAGATGGTGGTGGTCAGCGGTCACAGCCAATCCTTGCAACCGAATGGCCTGGGAAAATCCCTCCCATTGATCTGCCAACAGCAACCAAGGCTCAAGAGCAGGGTATACCTTGAGAACCCAGCTTGGGTGATAGTGAAACCAGAAAAGACACCAGCGTTCAGGCTGCCTGTCACTACCAAACCCAATAAGCAGAGACAGGGATTGAATCTTTATGGGCGCTTTATTCAGATGGCTGGCCATCTAAGAATATGGTGGGTTCATACTCTACCAGACCATCTTGTCTTTCCAGGCCAAGATTTTTATAGCAGGGAATAAATGAGGTATGGTAAGAGGTTTTGAAATTCAGGGAAAAGCTAATTGATTAAAAAAATGACTTCAGCATTCTTGTTCTGGGCGGTGGTCTTTAGCTGTGTCCTGGGCAGCGGCTGTTTGCAGTCCTTTTGAGGAACAATGGTGGAACTGCTTATGGTCTCCTGGAGTCAGAGTGGGTCATACCTTCAGCTCCTGGAACGAAAGCTTTTGCATGCATCGATTACTAAGCATATTAGCTATCACTGAAACTAAAATTTTCCAACTCTTAAGTCCCCTATCAATAAGGATGGCTGTGCCACTGGACCCTACAAGACACCTACTACATTAGGTCACGCTACCAAGACAGGGAGGCTACCAAAATGAGATGAAGAAACATGGCCCAAATGCAAGAACAGATCAAAACTCCAGAAAAAGAATTAAACAAAATGGAGATAAGCAATCTATTAGATGCACAGTTCGAAACAATGGTTAAGGATGCTTGAGAAACTTAGTGAGGACCTTAACAGTGTAAAAGAGATCCAGTCAGAAATGAAGGATACACTAATTGAAATAAAGAACAATTTGCAGGGAAATCACTGTCGATTGGATGAAGCCGAGAATCAAACCAATAACGAACATAAGGAAGCAAAAACAATCAATCAGAACAGCAAGAAGAAAAGAGAATCCAAAAAAACAAGGATAATGTAAGCAGCTTTGGCACAACTTTAAGCAATCCAACATTCACTTCATAGGGTGACAGAAGAAGAGTAAGAGCAAGAAATTGGAAATCTATTTGGAAACATAATGAAAGAAAACTTCTCCAATTTGGTGAAGGAAATAGACATGCAAGTCCAGGAAGCACAGAGTCCCAAACAAGATGGAGAAGAGGCTTCCGAGACACATCATAATTAAAATGTCAAAGGTTAAAGATAAAGAGATGGGAGGGGGAGTGTGGGAGAATGAGTGAGAGGCAAGGGGATTAAGAGGCACAAAAGGTGGTTACAGAGTAGCCATGGGGATGTAAAGTCCAGTGTAGGAAAGGGAGTAGCCAAAGAACTTACATGCACGACCATGGACATGAGCAGGGGTGGTGGGGGGATTGCCTGAGGGATGGGGGGTGCTGGGTGAAGGGGGCAAACAGGGAAAAATCAGGGCAACTGTAACAGCATAATCAATAAAATATAGTTAAAAACAAGGAATAATGTAAAACCAAACCAAATCCTGTCTCTGTGATCAGCAGACCACAGGCTTTGTTTCCAAGATTATCTGACCCAGGTCAGAACCTCATCATCTTGAGGGCTTACTGCTGAAGGGAGTGGCTGTGCCAGGGCTTATCTGGGAGTCTGTTCTCTGGCCCCTTTGTTCCTCCCGTCCACCACATGACTAGCCACATGCCAAGGCAGGAAAGGTCAAAAGAGGGTCCAAACTGCGTAAGCAGTGATATGCTGGGGGAGGAAAGGTCACCCCGGGGGTGAGGTCCCACTCTGTAATTGCTGCTAGGCACCCAGGGCTCTCTGCACTGGCTCCTTTCTATACCTGACCTCTTGCTCCTATTCTGCTCATGCCTGTCTGAGTGCCCATTGTTCATCTCAGCTCCCAGTTTTCTCCCATTTGCTCACAGGGCTCCAGCCATACTCTAACCTATATTTCTCTTAACACCCAAATTGTCATCTCAGAGTATCTCTAAGAACTGTCCCTTACCACTTCCTCCAAACCCTCCTCCTCAAGCTTTTCCAGTTAATTTCTACTAGTTGTCTTTTAGGTATCAACTTTGATTTTGCTTCTTCAGAGAAGCCTTTTATGTCACTCTAGACTAGGTTGTTGACAGTCTGATTGCTTGAAATACCTCCCTCTCTTGAGAGGAAATTCTTTACTCAAACTTTCACCACACTTCACTTTATCATTGTTATGGGTTTAACTGTCTGTCTTTCTGACAGACAGGACAACTGCCATGAAGGAAGGGTTCTATGTCTGCACGATGGTACCCCCAGTGTTTAGTATACTGCCTTGTCCCCTCACGGTAACAACATGAACTCTCCTTGGACAAACTTTAGCGCGGCTTCTAGCAGCTTAAGGCCATGTGCCTAGGATGACCCGTCCCCTTTAAAATGCCTGCCTGAGAAAGCTTGAGACTGCAAGAAGAATTTACTGTTTGTTCCAGCCAAAACCTGGTGATAAGCATATAGTCCCCTGAACCCCTTCTTAAAGCAGTTACTTCAGAAAGCTTGCAACCATAAATCCTTTCTCCTCCCCTTTGAGATGCAAATCATGCCGAGCTATCTCCTCCAGGACTGGAGAGCTGTCGCCTCCCAGCTTGGTGTGTACCTTGCTCTAACTTGTGTCACGGCCTAAGGACAGAGAACTTGGTTGCCCCTCCAGATGAAGTTCCAGTGAACAGACTCAGGTGGCCTAGCCCACTGGACCAGTCCGCCTCAGTGCCCTTCAGTGGCTTTGCCTCAGCACAGTGTTTAAAAAGTCTCAAGCCTTTTGTTTTGGGGATGTTTAGTTCGCAATGTTCCCTCTTTCCTATTTCAATAGTTAGTACTTAATAAAAATCTATCCTTACTGCTTTTACTAGTGTCTGGTTTTGTTTTTAGGTTTGACAGTAAACACTAAATAGTTACTGAATTAACCAATAAACAGGTTCTCCATAGGTGTGAACAGCTAGGGGAGGTGTCGTAACTTTGAAGCTCCTTTTGAGGTCTCTTCTATTTCCCTCTTAGAGAAACTGCTTGTCTGTTATTTTTTTCTTTCTTAATTTCTATGAAAAAAATGACAATTAGATCCTTATTATCCACAGTGCATTTTGGGAATGAACTAGTCAGATTATTGTATATATACAAAGCTATTTAAAAAGTCACAACCCTAAATTTTGATTACCTGGTTTCTCTCTCTCTTTCTTAAAAAAGAATTTCCTTACTTACTTTTTTTTTTTTAAAGATTTTATTTATTTATCTGTAGAGGGGAAGGGAAGGAGAGAGGGAGAGAAACATCAATGTATGGTTGCCTTTCATGCGTCCCCTGCTGGGAATTGGCCTGCAGGGAACTAGCCTGCAACCCAGGCATGTGCCCTGACTGGGAATCGAACCGCGATTGTCTGGTTCGCAAGCCCATGCTCAATCCACTGAGCTACACCAGCCAGGGCTCCTTACTTACTTTTAAGAGAGAAGGGAAGGGAGGCAAGAGAGAGGGAGAGAAACATCAATGTGTGGTTGCCTCTCATGTGCTCCCCCACCAGGGACCTGGCCCACTACCCAGGCATGTGCCCTGACTGGGAATCCAACCAGTGACCCTTTGGTTCACAGGCCAGCGCTCAATCCATTGAGCCACACCAACCAGGGCTGGTTTCTCTTTTAAACATTTTTTTCCCCTTATGACTTATAAACTTCAAAAGTTTTACCATTTCTATTTCTAAGCCAAAGACAAGTTCAATTCGGCCTGAAAAAACACATAGGCTAGTTAGATATGGGTGAGTTTGGCTAGGCCTTGCCTACAATTGCCCCCACCCCCCTTCTTCTCTGCCTGCAGACTGCGCCCTGCTGCCTGGTCCCCTGGGCTTCTGCTGTTCCTCCAAAATGTTTGCCACTTACATGCTCTTGTCAGTGCTTTTAAAAAGCTCCCCCTTCAATTCAGGACTTTCAGCGTTAACTGGTGACTCCATTTAGAGGCCACACCACTTCCTCTCCCGCAATCCTGCCCCGAGCCTCCGCCTCCACCTCCAACCTCGCCTCAGCGGTGGCCGGGTGTCACGTGCTAGGACTCGAGCTTGAAGCCAGCGCCGCCATATTAATTCATGGCAGCTCCAGCTAGGGGCAAGGTGAGGGTCATGGACCAATCACGGAGTTCCGGTCCTTGTGCGCAAGTGCGGAAGTGTGTTGGCCCCGAGTGTGACTGGTTTCCGGCCAGTGGTGCTTCACCGGCTTCCCGGAGACGTGTAACGGGTGGTGGGCCACAGCCATGGCCGATAGGAAACCTAACGGCGGGGGCGCCGCCTCCACTTCCTTGGCCGGCACTAATTTACTCTTCTCTTCTTCGGCAACAGAATTCAGCTTCAATGTGCCCTTCATCCCAGTCACTCAAGCCGCCGCTGCCTCGGCCTCCTTGCTCCTGCCTGGAGGTAGTGAGGGATGGGGGTCTGGTGGGGCGAGTGTGTGGGGGAGGCATGTGAGGGGCGGGCGATTGGGTGACGACAGTCAGACTGCAGGTTTTTCTTCCCCGTCTGGACCAGACCCTCTGGGTAGTTGCCAGGTGGCTAACTTTGAGTGGCCTGGGTACTTTAGGACCTTGGAGGCGGGGTCAGGTCACAAGACTTGTTTTGCTCTTCGTTAAAGGACCCCTGTTCCGAGTGCTGGACACCACTGCGCTCCACAGATTTTTATTGAACACTTTCAGGTGTGCCCGGTACTTTCAGGGAATGCACACGAGGTAGACAGTGCTCTCTCTTCTAGGATACAGTAGGGTATCTCCTAGGGTAGACGTGTAACATTCGCAAAGTTGAGGTACGGAATGCAATGCTCGTCTCTAAAGACGCTGCTTCACTTCCTCTAGGGCTGTTTCTTGTTCTCTTTGGTCCCACTCCTATGTGCCCCTTAACTCCTTGTTCACATTCTTGTTATTGTAGCGAGATCGCTTTTTAGCGACTGTGTGGGATAACCCAGAGAGTGGCGTTTAGGAGCACATGCTGTGCTCCTGCCCTGGCCCTGCCAGTAACTTTCTGTGCGACCTCGGGCATGTTGCTTTACCTCTCTGAGCTCAGTTTCCATTGTGTGCAGCCTGATAGGGCTGTAATGAGAAGTGAGTTAATTTTTGTAAGGCGCTGAGTATAGTGCCTGGTGCACAGTGTTACATAAATGTTTGCAAAATAAACACACATGCCTGTTTGAATTGTGGGCTTCTTGAAGTTTGCAGCTCTGACTTATTCGCCTTTTTTATTTCTAGGATATTTAGTGCCTAGCACATAGATCCTCATTAAATGCTGACTATTTTCCCATTGAATAACTTATCCTTGTTTGGAGGACCGAGAGGAGGTTTTGTTGGAGAAGTGAAGGGCAAGCTGGAGGCAGTTGTACATGCAGATTCCCTTTCCCTTGTGGTATGTTTCTTCTTGGTGCTTGTCACCACCTGACCTGCACACATGTTTATCTTACCCCTCTAGAACGGAAGCTCCATGAGAGCAGGGATTTATACCTAGAACGGTTCCTGGTACGCTGTAGACCAATTTGTCAGTGGTTGGTTGTTGAATGAATGAAAGGATGGGAGTCAGGAATATATATGTCTCATTTCGACAACGTGGCTGCAAGGTTAGGCGTTGCCATTTTTGGCGAAGGACTAGCATGGTTGGAGCAGAATGCTGCAGGAGGTTGCAGAACAAATAAGGCCATAGACGGGACTTTCGTCAGGTGCTGGGGGAATTTACCTATTTTGAAAACTCTGGGTTCTTGGACATACCTTATTTTGTAGTGAGAAAGTTAATTTTTTTTGGAACTGAAATTCTGTACAATTATTTTTCCATTGCTAAAAAACATTTGATCATTAGCAACCCATGCATATACTTTCCAGAGACAAAGGAAGCAACAGTTAATTATCTCGGGGAAAGAGAAAACCTCACACATAGGGAGCAATTTCATTCGTTCAGCATACGTGGATTGAGTAGCTTCTGTTTGCCAGGCCTTGTCCCGTGTGTCTGGGAGACCCAGAGCAGATAGCATTGCCCACAGTGATTGCACAGTGTACGTGTACACACTGCCCAACTATGTGAGCAGTTGTGTTGCAGGCTTATAGTGGCTAGAGGGAGGGATTGATAGGCTGCCGTGAAAGCTATGGGTTTCAGTCTGGCTGACCTGGGAGAGGACATCCCTTGGGCCTCAGGGCCTCAAGGCCTCCAAGAAGAGGTGATTCTTGAGCTCAGTGTAGAAGGATACACTGAAATTAGGGAGTCTGGAGAGGCAGACATATGTAAAAGTCTGAGGTGTGAGAGAATATCTGCATATCTGGCAGGGTTTGATGGTAGGTGCTCACATTCTCTCTCCTCACCCATCTCCTCTCCCTGTCCCTTCTCCCCTCCCCCAGTAGAGCAGTGTGACTAGAGGGTGTGCAGGGGAGCAGCTTGAGTGGTCAGTGGGGACCAGATCACGAAGGGCCTCCTATAACATATTGAGTTTGTGGTCACCCTTGATAAACAAGGCAGCGAAATTAGGGGTTTCAGAAAGACTGCAGTGTCTGAGATTGCCCCGGAGTAAAGCTGACGGTAGCAGGAGTGGTCAGCCTGGAGGCCACTGTGAATCAGCAGGAGTGGATAGCACTCTAGCCCTAGTCAGCCACATCGAGTATAGAGAGCAGGGAATGGATGCAAGAGATTTTCAGGCTATAAAATCGTTGGGACTCAGTGACTCATTGGTGGCCAGGCTTTCTACCATAGCAACTCCTCCTAGTTCAGTTTTAGCATCAAGACCTAGCTCCAGTGCCTGGCACATAATGGATGCTTTGTACATATTTCTTGAATGAGATTCGAATGATTAAATGGAGGGGATGGGAGAGAGGGAGGAGTCTGAGAGGCGAGGTTCTGGTTTGAGAGGATGGATGGATGGTTGGGTATTGTGATAGTGAGACGTGGTAAAGGAGCACGTGGAAGGGGACGGTGCTGATGGTCAATTCCAATTTATTCATGCTGAGCTTGAGGTGTATGTGGCTGAGCCTGCTGAAAGTACTGAGGAAGCAGGTGGAAAATAGGTCCTGGAACTAATGAGAACAGTCTTGTTTGAGACAGAGTTGGGAGTGTCACAATATACAGGTAGGTAGGTGCCCATTAAAGGTGTGGGTTTTGATGTTAAGGGTGTTCACATGTAATTAGAAAGTGCCTGTGAGGTGAGACTGGCATTATGGTGAGATCAGTATTTCATTTGTAATTGATGCTAATCAGAAAAAAGCTTTCTGAATGAGGTTGATCCCTAAATTGTCTTAAAGGATGAGAGAGGTTTTTTTTTTCCCCTCCTTGTAGTTATTTTTCTTTTCTTTAAGATTTTTAAGATCTATTTTTAGAGAGAGGGGAAGGGAAGGAGAAAAAGAGGGAGAGAAACATCAATGTGTGGTTGCCTCTTGCACGCCCCCTACTGGGGACCTGGCCTGCAACCCAGGCATGTGCCTTGACTGGCAATTGAACTGGCAACCCTTTGATTCTCATGCCCACATTCAATCCACTGAGCCACACCAGCCAGGGTGATGCTGGTAGTTTTTGAGAGGTAAATACAGCTAAGTCCAAGTGAGGTTTAGATGACTGAAGAGAGAGGTTGGGAAGTGGAAATATGTAGGAAAAGTAGAATGCTACAAGCAGACAAAAGCCCTTGTACAGGAGGTGATATTTTTAGTTACAAAGAAACAACCTAGAAGAGTATTTTGAATAGTGGGTTATTTTTGTTAAGTTGATGAAATATAGTGGGAACAACCTATAAGCTCAAGCCAGAATCCGCCAGCCCAGGGTCCCCCTTCAGCAGATCAGGATGGAGCCTGCAGCTGGAAAGAAGGCCCCCTTTGTCAGGTCTCAGAGTCAACTGTGTACTGGGAGCAGGTCCACCCACGGACAGGCTCCACCCTTCAGGGGTAGGAGATGAGAGGGAATGAAACTAGAGAGGGAAGAGATTAGGGAGAGGACAATAGAAGGTACGCAAGCTAAGGGCTCACGCAAGTTTGGGTGGGTGGAAGAGCGGGCTGGACTTTTGAGGCCACAGAGGAAAAACGCTTTAACTTTACAACTTGGTAGTAGAATAGAAGTTAAATGGTCGGTGATCATACCTACAGTGAAGATCAAGTTGGACAAAGGGAAGTGAGGGAACTTCCCTTGGTTAGAAAAGGACTTTTCTAGTGATTCGGCTCTGATGACAGATTATCTGGTTGTGATGCTCTGCGGTTTTAGGGATGGCAGTTCACGGTTGACCTATTTTGCCTTGTGAATACAAATACCACGTGTTCATTTGTACAATCTGTGCTTTGCTGGTAAGAGCCCTGACATACCCCTTCTTGTCTTGCCATTACTCTAGAAATAAAATATGTGTATTGGGTAGCAGAACACTATGATTTCTTACCAGGAAACAAGTGCGTTCAAAAGAACATGTAAATAAAGGGGGGGGGGAGTACGTGTAAAAATAGTAGGCAGGGATTTTGTTTCTGTTTTTAAAAATTTCTATATACAAACATGTATAATGTTTATATACTTATAAAAGAAATAACAGGTATTTATGTTCATTTAAAAAGTGTGGAAAGGTATGGACCAAAATGTTGTTAGTGGTGATTGTCTCTGGAAAGTGGGCTTATGAATGAATTATAATTTTTCTTTCTTTTTTAGTTCTTTCCTTGTATTTATTTTTAATTTTTAAAAAGTTTTATTCATTTTTAGAAAGGGTAAGGGAGGGAGAAAGAGAGGGAAACATGTGTGAGAGATACATCGATTGGTTGCCTCTTGCATGCTTTCAACTGGGGACCTGGCCTGCAACTCAGGCGTGTACCCTGACTGGGAATTGGACTGGCGAACTTTTGGTTCACAGGCCAGCACTCAATCCACTGAGCCATACCATCCAGGGCTATTTATTTTCTTTAAAATTTTTTCTTATATTGACTTTTAGAGAGAGAAACAGCAATTCGTCGTTCCACCTATTTATGCATTCGTTGGTTGATTCTTATATGTGCCCTGACTGGGGATTGAACCTGCAACCTTGGTGTATGGCTATGACAGTCTAACCAAATGAGCTACCTGGCCAGAACCTTTTTGTTGTTTCTTATTAATATTTTTTAGTTTTTCATTTCAAAAAGTAGTTTTCAAAATAAAAGTTTTTCATTTTTTTCCCTGTAATGCAGAAATGAAAGTTTGAGCAACAAAATAAGAATTATAAGAGCTAGATGTGTAGAATGATGTCATACTTTTGAAACCATTTAGCCTTCTGTCTTTTTCAGAGGATTCCACAGATGTTGGCGAGGAGGACAGCTTCCTTGGTCAGACTTCTGTTCACACGTCTACCCCACAGACATTTAGTTATTTCTCTCAGGCATCAAGCAGCGGTGATCCGTTTGGGAATATCGGACAGTCGCCATTAACGACTGCAGCAACATCAGCTGGACAGCCAGCATTCCCCAAGCCCCCAGCGGCTCTCCCTTTTACAGCCGGGTCCCAAGATGCATTTCCACTGTCCAGCTCAAAGGCTCCACATGGTGCTCCACCGTCGTCACAGATGGGAACAAGTGCTTACTTGCCTCCCCAGCCGAGTAGTCTCCCTCCTTCCAGTTTTGGGAGCCCACCCCAAGGCGTGCCCCAACAAGGGTACAACCCCTATCGCCACACTCCCGTCAGCAGCAGAGCTAACCCTTACATCACGCCACCGCAGCTGCAGCAGTGCCAAACACCGGGCCACCCTGCCCATCCGCCACCCTCTGCACCCCCCGTTCACATGTACCAGATGCCTCCGGGGTCTTTGCCGCCGGTATGGAGACCTGTTTTTGTTTACTTTACTTGTTTTACCAATTACTCACTTTGATTTGTACTCTCCCTCAGTGCTTTTTGTAATCAATATGATGACACATTATTTTCAGAGGATAGCTTTGTAAGCTGTATGCTTTGATTTCTTACCAGGAAAAAAAGAGTATTCAAAAGAACATGTAAAAATAGTAGGTATAGATTTTGTGTCTGTTTTTTAAAACTTTTTTATACAAACATGTTTTAAAGGGAGCACATTGAAACAGAAACATTTTAGTTTCTCTTATCTGTACTGAAGCAGTAATTGATTTTAATGAGTTAATCTGTGCCAATATTTCCAGATTGTAGTGCTAGATAGATACCAATAATTAATGGGATCTAAGGACCAGTGAGAGTCAAAGCAATTATTATCTTAACAGACTGCCAACCTCTCATTTTTTAATTATACTATTCAATCTAGATACTCAATTACAGGGACTAAAATTAATTACTCCAATAATTTCTTTTATTTACATTTATGGAGTTTGGATCTAGACAGTTAAACTCTGTTTCAGGAGAGTGATAGAATAACATTTACATTGGGTAAATTTTGTAAAATTCCCATACGCTTTTTTCCCAACTGATATCCAACTGACTTCCTAGGGGAAATCAGCTAAATCAGAAAAGGGGAAACAGTGGAGAGAAGAGCCCCACCCAGAGTGGCAGAAGTATCAGCGTTATAATAAGACTGTAACATAACTTTACTCCTGGGAATGGAGAATGGGTTTCATTTTATTCAATTTATATCATACTGATACATGATAATGGGTCTGAAGCATATACAAAACCGTTCCTTGGAACAGTTGTGACGGTCGTAACTTCTTGTCCCCTCCAGATTCCTCCGCCAGTGCAGTCGGGGCTGTCCTCCGAAGGACAGTCACCAGCCCTCGCTAGGCCTGCGGGCCCCGCTGTGCAAGGGCCGCCTCCTTTCTTCCTTCAGAACCAGTATGAACCCGTGCAGCCGCACTGGTTTTACTGCAAGGAGGTCGAATACAAACAAGTGTGGATGCCTTTCAGCGTGTTTGACTCCTTGAATCTCGAAGAAGTCTATAACTCAGGTAAGCACTGATCGTACGTCACTTATCAGCATGGCTGGTTTTAGGGGGAGAAGGGGTGAAGGGTGTGTAGCTGTGGCTTACTTCTTGTGACTGTCACGTTGCTTAACCCTCCTAGATCCAGTGAACGCTGTACTTTAAGATGGTGATATTAGTATAATTCCTGGGTTATTTGAGCAAGTTATTTGAAGAAGTGTTTTAACAGAGGCTTTTTGAATCAGAGAAATAGAGCAGTTCATATAATCTAGGTGTCAGTTTTCTTTTTGGGTGTAAATTTTCTTATTTCCCATATTCATTTTAGCTATAGGGTGTTTGTAAAGTGTTTTCTCTGGAAATTTTATTTTTTAAGATATTGTGAGAAAAAGTGACCACGGTCAGCTGAGTCTCGGAACTGCGGAGGCTACGTCTGTTGAAGTAGCCAGCGCACGGGGCGCACTAAGGCTCTGAGAAGCCTTGCAGTGGAGAAGTAGGGTCTGTTGTTTTTGGTGTATCCTGATGATATTTTATCATGAGACTTAATTACCTATTAATATTCTTTAGAAATGCACTTCATGAGTGTTGCTGCTTTGGTTTAAAAAATATACCAGTTATTTCACTTATTTTACCATCATGTTTTTAAAAAGTTTGCTCTGCCTGTTTGTTCACTTGAGCAGAATCATGCCCTGGTCAGCGTGGCTTGAGTTGGTTGAATGTTGTCCCTCAAAACGAAGGTTGCTGGTTCGATTCCCACTTAGGGCACGTGCCTGGGTTGCGGTCTTGGTCCCCAGTTGGGCACGTGTGAGAGGCAACCAGTCAGCGTTCCTCTCACACATCAGTGTTTCGCTCCCTCTTTTTCCTAACCTTCCCCTCTCTCTGCAATAAATAAACAAAATCTTAAAAAAAAGGAATCATAATTTTGATCAGTACAGATTAATCTTAAATATTTTCAAATAAAAATGAGCTTAGTTCTTTGTTTTTCAGGGTCAGTCACTGGATTCGTTATTTATTACTTTTGAACATGCCTTGTAACTGTCCGGTTAAACTGTGGACTTTGTATGCAGTGCAGCCAGACCCCGAGAGTGTGGTTCTAGGCACGGACGGGGGGCGCTACGACGTTCACCTCTACGAGCGGACGAGGAGAGCCGTGTACTGGGAAGAGGGGCCCGCTGAGGTGCGGCGCTGCACGTGGTTCTACAAAGGGGACACAGATAGCAGATTTATTCCCTACACGGAGGACTTCAGTGAAAAGCTAGAGGTATGTGCGCTTTATTCCTTCACGCTTTTGTTGGAAAAACGCAGGCCCTGGGTATATTGGAGCCTCGGGTAATCCCACTCTCAGGAGCAGAGTTTGTTTACTGGAGGGCCGTCTTGGTCCTGTGCACACAGATCACCGTTGGTGTCAGACAGCTGCAGGCAGGAGTGAACTGCAGCTTCGCCTTTGTTGCTCATCGTTGTGTAATCTCATGCAACTCTGAACTTACTTAGCAGGCCTGCTCAGGGGTGAATTGTGTCCCCTCCAAAAAAGATATGTTGGCGTCCTAACCTCCAGTAGCTCAGAATGTGATTTTATTTGCACATAGGGTTGTTGCACTTATAATTCTTTAAGATGAGATGATTGTGGAGTAGGGTGGCCCCTTATCCCATATAACTGGTATTTTGAGAAGACAACATGTTTAGACAGACGTAGGGAGAACGCTCTGTGAAACTAGAAGATCGGAGTGATGCACGTGTAAGCCGAAGGACACTGAAGATTGTCGGCAGGTGGCCAGCAGCCAGGGAGAGGAGAGGAAGGAGTCCCCCTAGGTCCCAGAGGGAAGGAACGTGGCCCTGCGGACACCTAGGGTTCAGGCTCCTGGCCTCCGGGGCCGAGGGATCCGTTTCTGTTGTTTTAAGCCTCCCAGCCCGTGGCACTTTGTTATGGCGGCTCCAGGGAACTGACCAAGTCTCTAATCTTGGCTTTTGCTGCTGTGTAATGTGGGTAATATTACTTAGAAGTGATTGAAAGTAATTAATTAAATGAGGCAATATATGTAAAGTGGTAAGTATGGCAAACAGTTAGTACATGAGAGCTGCTGTTACTGTTATTTTTATTACCATCATAGTTACAATTTTCTCTTAACGTGTCGTAGATTTGTAATCATGAATATATGTTCTTTCCATTATTGTAGGCCGAATACAAAAAAGCTGTGACCACAAATCAGTGGCACCGCAGATTAGAATTTCCAAGTGGAGAGACAATTGTTATGCACAATCCAAAGGTAATGGTATTTTTTAAGATACTAAGAGTTTATAGGTTCATTAAAATAATTATTTTGAGGCCCTGGCTGGCATAGCTCAGTGAATTGAGCGTGGGCCTGCAAACCACACGATCACGGTTTGAGTCCCAGTCAGGGCACATGCCTGGGTTGCAGGCCAGTTCCTGGCAGGGGACTCACGAGAAGCAACCACACATTGATGTTTCTCTCCCTCTCTCCTTTCCTTCCTCTCTAAAGATAAATAAATAAACTATTTTAAAAAATTATTTTGCAGAACATGTCTGATAAATGTTCGTTTTTATTTCTGCAGTAAGGATAGATATATGACAATGCATTACTTTTAAGTTTATAGTTGACATTGATCATAGAAACAAAAACAACACTTAAATCTGGCTCATGAAGTTGCTGTTTGTGGCACCATGTTAGCTGAGCTTAGTCTGCAGCACAGAGGTTGCTTGATGAACTTTTGCACTTGATCAGAGGTCAGCTGACTTATTCTGTAAAGGGCAAGAGAGTAAATATTTAAGGCTTTTTACATCATATGGTCTTTGCTGCAGCTATCAGTTCTGCCTTTGTAGCCTAAAAGCATCTATAGACATCGGGCATAGCTATTTTTAATAAAACTTTATTTGTGAAAATAAGTGGTGAGCCAGTTTGGCCTGCAGGCCCTAGTTTGCCCACCATGCCCTTGATAACTATGTGTTTCAACCTTTGAAATGTAAAATACATTTTTCCTTCTTATTTGTATTGTCTTTAGAAACTTTTTTTCTTCTGCTTATTATTTTTAATGTGCTGTTAGTGGTGTTTGCATCCTTTTATTTACCGTTCTCAGTCTCTGACCTACAGCTTCCCCACTTGCAATAAGATTTACCTCCCTGGGCCATATTTTAGATGAAGTGAGGTAATTTATGCAAAAGCATCTAGCATAGTGCTTGGCATACAGTTGCTCAGAACACAGGCTATTTATTACAGGAAAGTATAAAGTAACCTACACTCTAACTGCCTCTGAGGTCCTATTGATATAAAAATAGCCTTGGCTAGGTGGCTCAGTTGGTCCCATACATCAAAAGGTTGTGGGTTGGGACACATACGGGAGGCAACCCACTGGTGTCTCTCCCTCATACTGAATCTGTCTATCTCTCTCTTTCTCTCCCCCTCCCCTCCCCTCCCCCTCCCCTCCCTCTCCCTTCCCTTCCCCCTCTCTTCCCACCTTCTTCTCGCTCTAAAATCAATTAAAAAACATTTTAGGGTGAAGATTAAAACAAAAAAATAAATAAAAATAAAAACATTTATATGTCAACAAAGTTTAAACAGTATAAAAGGGTATGAAATGAAAAAGAGCCTCAAAATAATAGCCTCTTACTTTTGCATCCCCCCAGTATTTCTCGTCTTGATGGTAACAACTCTTATTCTTTGGTTTAAAATTTTTTTTTAACTTTTTGTTTTGTGCACAAACACAAAATTTTGCATAGCATTTTTTTGAAAGAAATATTTTCATATGACATCAGGTTTAATTTCATACAGTTGGATTTAACAGAATATGTGTCTTCCTGGCTGGTGTGGCTCAGTAGATTGAGCACCGGCCTGTGAACCAAAGAATGACTGGTTCGATTCCCAGTCAGGACACATGCCTGGATTGTGGGCAGGGTCCCCAGTAGGGGACCTGTGAGAGGCAATACACAGTGGTGTTTTTCTCCTCTTTCTGCCTCCTTTCCCCTCTCTCTAAAAAGAAATAAAATATTTAAAAATATATATATTTCTTTCTAAAAAGTGGTGAGTAAATCCGTTTTTGGCAGTGAAAAAGTAGTTGTCAATAGACTCCTGTTGCAGGTAACTTTTCCTTAATTTCTTATGTGTAAAATGGGATGTTTATATTACATTTCTAAATCCAGGTATATTACTTCTGATTTAGTTGTATTATTTTCTAACATCAGCATTGGATATAATGGTATTGATTTGCTTACTTTTAATGGTTACTGAACCCTATCAGGACTGTTACAGATTGGTTTTGGGGGAGTGGTAGTAGTACTTGGCGTATAAATTATCCATACTATGAAGGTACTTTATTATGTACTGAGCCACATATTTAGTCCGTAGTGGAAATGAATTCGGTAGTGAGACCTGTCACAATCCTTCTGTTGTATCTTGAAGGTTATTGTTCAGTTCCAGCCTTCATCAGTGCCAGATGAGTGGGGGACCACACAAGATGGACAGACAAGGCCCAGGGTTGTAAAGCGTGGGATTGATGATAACCTTGATGAAATTCCTGATGGTGTGTATAATTTGTTTAGGACCAGTGTCGTTTCTAGACTTCTCTCTTTTAGCGTAATTTATAGAAGGAGGACGTAAAGAGGCAGTTATTAGGATTACCTGCCATAATGTGCAGAAATCAGCCAGGCTGGCACATATCTTTTAAAATTTTTTATTGCCTTTTTTCTTTATTTTTACATTTAGAATTCTGTGAAGATACACAAATCATGTAAGGTAGACTTTAAAATATGTATTGTTGTAAAGAAATATTTTGCTGGTTGAAACTCAGCTTTTCGCTGTGTTTTTGGGCTTGTTTTGTCATGCCTCAATTCGTTTTTCTTACTTTAGTGCCAGCGTGGCAAATGTTTTCTGTAAAGGCTAAGTAGTAAGTATTTTAGGCTTTGCAGGCCATATGGATTCTGTTGCATCTATTCCGCTCTGCTCTTGCAGTGCGACGCATCTACAGGCTATGTAAACAAATGGGCATAGCTGTGTTTCAATAAAACTTTATAAAAACAGACAGTGAGCAGGATTTGGACCATTAGCCATGGTTTGCTAACCCCTGCTCCAGTGTTTGTCCTTTGGTTTCTCCTGTTTCGCCACTTAAAAGTATAGATTTTATTTTGACAGTTACATACTTTATATTTATTTCATTGTGTTATGAAATTACAAAATGAATGTACTCATTATGAATCTGAATGAAATAACCAGAATAAAATAGTAGATTTAACTTGGAGATGTTCTTATTATAGTATATGTGTATCTAACAAATCAAAGAAAGGGATTTGGGGGAAATATTTTAAAGTTTTATATTGGCAAATTGCTTCTCCATATGGGGTTCAGTGCCCTGTGGAGTTCTGAAGAAATCACAAGGTTATGGAGGCTCTATAGGTACAAACCTGCTGGTCGTCATATGCTGATAACGTCTGGGACCAGAGACAGCCTGCTTCCTCCGCTCCTTGGTCCAGCTCACTGCTATTTGCAGAGACAGACTTTGGGTTTTGTTTTAATTTGGTAGAGGGTAATGAGGCCCATTAGGTCGGAAGGGCCACGTGTCCAGCTTACGTGTGTGTGTATTTCTTTTGTAGGGGAAATGCCTCAGGTTGACCATTTGGTGTTCGTGGTACATGGCATTGGACCTGTGTGTGACTTGCGCTTCAGAAGCATTATTGAATGTGGTGAGTGTTAGTCATTTTACTTCGTGGAATGGTTTGAGAGCTGATAGAGGAGCTTTTAAATGTTCAATTTTAAAATAGCTTCCAGCTGAGGGGCTGTAAGAGGTGATTTATGTGATCACTGGGAATATTAATTTGTACTTGATTTGCTTTTACCATGTGTATAACTCATAAAAATTGAGACTGTGAAGAATTAGGTGGGAATCTAGTCTTGGAAATAATTGAGCCTTTCTTGTAGCCTCTGCTTGAACACCTCTAGCAACTAGGAACATCTGTGTATTAAACTGATTTGTAGTGAATTAGTGGTGGGGAGTTGTTTAATGGGAGTATGAATTCCTGTGGCTTCTAGAAATTTTTGAAGTTTTTTAAAAGTATATTTTATTGGCCCTGGCTGGTGTAGCTCAGTGGATTGAGTGCAGGCCTGCGAACAACACGATTGCAGTTCGATTCCCAGTCAGGGCACATGCCTGGGTTGCAGGCCAGTTCCCAGCAGGGGACTCATGAAAGGCAACCATACATTGATATTTCTCTCCTTCTCTCCTTCCCCGCCTCTTTAAAGATGAATAAATAAAATCTTTATAAAAAAGTATATTTTATTGATTATGCTATTAAGAGTTGTCCCATTTTTTTCTCCTCTTTATTCCCCTCCACCTTGTAATCCCCTCCCTCCAGCATTTCCTCCCCTTAGTTCATGTCTGTGGGTTATACACATAAGTTCTTTGGCTTCTCCTTTTCCTATACTATTCTTAACCTCCCCCTGTCTATTTTGTATCTACCAGTTATACTTCTTATTCCCTGTACCTTTGCCTCCATTCTCCCACCAACCCCTTCCCACTGATAATCCTCCATGTGATCTCCATTCCTGTGATTCTGTACCTGTTCTAGTTCTTTGCTTAGTTTGTGGTGGTTTTTTTTTAAAAGATTTAGTTGATAGTTGTGAGTTTGTTGTCATTTTACTGTTTATAGTTTTGATCTTTTTCTTATTCAAGTCCCTTTCAGATTTCATATAGTAAAGGCTTGGTGATGATGAAGTCCTTTAACTTTACCTTATCTAGGAAGCACTTTATCTGTCCTTCCATTCTAAGTGATAGCTTTGTTGAACACAGTAATCTGGATGTAGGTCTTTGCTTTTTATGACTTCTTTCCAGCCCCTTTTTGCCTACAAGGTTTCTTTTGAGAAATCAGCTGAGTCTTACGGGAACTTCTTTGTAGGTGACTGTCTCCTTTTCTGTTGCAGCTTTTAGGATTCTCTACTTATCATTTAATTATGATGTGTTTTGGTGTGTTCCTCTTTGGGTCCATCTTCTTTGGGACTCTCTGAGCTTCCTGGACTTGCATGTCTATTTCCTTCACCAGATTGGGGAAATTTTCAATTTCTTGCTCTTCTTCTTTTTCTGGCACTCCTATGAATCAGATGTTGGAATGTTTAAAGTTGTCCCAGAGGTCCCTGAGCCTTTCCTCATTTTTTTGAATTCTTGTTTCTTCATTGTGTTCTAGTTGAATGTTTATTCCTTCCTTATATTCCAAAATTATTGATTTGAGTCCTGTTTTTTTTCCCTTCACTGTGGCTTCACTGCGTATTTTCTTTACTTCACTTTGTATAGCTTTCATTTCTTTTTTTACTTTGTGAGTGAACTCAGTCATTTCTGTGAGCATCCTGATTACCAGTGTTTAGAACTCCGCATCTGATAGGTTGTTATCTTGTCACTTAGTTATTTTTCTGGAGTTTTGATCTGCTCTGTCATTTGGGCCATATTTCTTTGTCTTGGCACACCTGTTACATTGTAAGGGGTGGAGCCTTAGGTATTCGTCAGGGTGGGGCGACCCTCTTTGCTGTGTTGTGGTGCAGGGGTTGGAGAGGGAACAGTGCTGGCTGCTCACCTCTCACCCTGCTTTCAGTCACTTCCCCTGTTTCCCACAAGTGAATTGCGCCCTTCCTGGTGCTGCCCAGGTGCCTCCCAGGTGGGTGGGCATGTGTACGTTCTAGGACCCTGTGGACTGTCCCCAGTGGACTCTCCTGGGAAGACTGGCAGTTTCTCCTGCCACTTCAACCCTCACAGGTTTTTATAGCCAGAGGTTTTTGAGGCTCTATTTCCCACACTGGAACCCTGGGTTGCAAGGTCAGTCTCGCTCCCCAGTTGTTCCTCCTGGCTTATCTGCATGTGAATGTGGGCCCACCCGGTCTGCCAGCTGCCAGCCTGCTGCACATCTCTCCCCCTGGGTGCCCGTCCCTGCCCCTCCTACCGGTCTGGATGAATGTTTCTTCTTTAACCCCTTGGTTGTCGGCCTTCCTTACAGTTCAATTTTCTGGCAGTTCTGGTGGTTTTTTGCTTTTAAATTGGTTGTTAGCCTCTTTCTGGTTTTGTGAGGAAGCACAGTATATCCACCTATGCCTCCATCTTATCTGGAGAAATCTGAAGCTTTATTTTTATGCCTGTATAAATAGTTCATATTTGTTGAATACTTAGTATGTGCCAAATATCTTGCATGTATTTACTTATTTTTATCCTCGCCTGAGGACATGCTTATTGATTTTAGAGAGGGGCAGGGAGGGGGAGAGAGAGAGAAACACCGATCGGAGAAACATTGATTGCTTGCCTCTTGTATGTTTCCCAATTGGGCACCAAATCTGCATCCCAGGCATGTGCCTGACTGGGAATTGAACCGGTGACCCTTTAGTTCAGAGGCCCAAGCTCAATCTACTGAGCCACATAACCCAGGGCAAGTTTTTGATAGTTAAGCTAATGTTTTTTACTCATTGACATGCCTCTAAAATAATGAAAAGTTTAAAAGAACTTTCTAAATGGTAGGTTTATTTTTTTTTTTATTCTTGAGAAGTTGGTGTTATAAAAAAATACCAATTTAGTTGAGATAATTGCTAACTACCTATCAAGCTAGGAGGATTTAATGAATATAACTTGTTGTTTTCCTTGATATTTTTTTGAAGTGGATGATTTTAGGGTGGTTTCACTCAAATTGCTGCAGACACATTTCAAGAAATCTTTAGAAGATCGGAAAATAAGCAGAGTGGAGTTCCTGCCGGTCCACTGGCACGGTGCGCTGGGCGGGGATGCCACAGCTGTTGACAGGTTTGTGGGTTTTGGTGACTTGTCCTTCAGAGTCTTCAAACTTAGATTCAAAATATAAGCCATAATGTGAAAGAGTTTATTATGACTTTAACGAATGTATTTTTAAATTTTAAATTTATACTTGCTCTGATATGTGATTAAATACTGGTTACATTTATATGCTGCTTTTTTGTGTGTGCGTACATGCACACACGTATATATGCAAGTATATGTGTATGCATATATTCTTATCAATATTTAAGAGCATCTAGGAAACATACGCTGGTTTTAGAATGCTGATGTGTAGTGCTTTAGCGAGGGGCCGTCCTGTCCGTGGTAGGTGTTTAGCAGCGTCCCTGGCCTCTACTCTCTAGGTAGTAGGAGCGCGTTTCTTCCCACAGTGCGACCGCCAAAGATGTGTCTAGTCATGGCCAAAGGTACCCTGGGGGTGGAACCCTCCTGGATGAGAACCACTGGTTTAGATGATTGTTTCTCAGTGGAGCTCTTTGGGCAGGACAATTCCTTGTCGTGTCGGGTTGTTTCGTGTGTATTGTACGCCATTTAGTATCCTTAGTCTAAATGCCACTGAATGCCCATGGCACTTAACCAGGCACTGTGAATAGTAAGAATGCCCTCACTCAATTTTGAATGCTCATAATTAAGAACCACAGATTTAGGTGATTTTTAACCACCAGAGAAAGGCACCAATTCTCTCCCTCTCTCCTTCTCCTCTTCCCCTCTAAAGATAAATAAATAAAATCTTTAAAAATAAAAAATAAAAAAAAAAACTTAAAAAAAAAGATTTTATTTATTTACTTTTACAGAGAAGAGAAAGGGGGAGAAAGATAGGGAGAGAAATACCCCTCACACACCTCCAAATGGGGACCTGTCCTGCAATCCAGGCATGTGCCCTGAGTGGGAATCAAACTGACGACCTTTTGGTTAGCAGGCTGGCTCTCAGTCCACTGAGCCACAGCAGCAGGGCAGGTAATTTTTAAAAAAGTTTAGGTAATATTTATGCTAGAACACCGGGTCAGTAACATCTGAATTTTGGTAAATGTCATAATGCTTCAGAGCACATGGTTTAATGAAACGGTTCCTACAAACAGCATTCTGTGAATGCCGGGCCCTGTTATGAGGGTGTTTTCTTTTTCTGTGGACGTTCTTGAACTTCACTATGGCCATTCTCAAACCAGGAAGGATTTTCATTTCTTTAAGCTCCTTTCTTCCAGATACTTTCTCTGTTCTCCTTCCTACTCACAGTTTTTGTCATCTTGATTTCCAGTACATTGGAAGACAAATGAAACTATAGGCTTTCTTTAGAAATAAAAATCTTTTTGTAAGCCTTATTTTATATCATAACTTCAGAGAATTCCAAAATTCATAATATAGGTAAAGGCACAAATAGCAAGTTTTTTGCTATAACTCTGTCTATAAATCAGCTCATAATTAGTCTGTAGGATTTTTTTTATGCAGTATATTTTCAGGATTCAAAATCTAAACTTTAAAAAATTCATAAGTTTAAGGTAGCTACTGACAATATACTTTTTTCCCTTTCTGAACAGGAATATTAAGAAAATCACTTTACCAAGTATTGGTCGGTTTCGTCACTTTACCAACGAAACCTTGCTGGATATTCTGTTTTACAATAGCCCCACCTACTGTCAGAAGATTGTGGAAAAAGTGGGAATGGAGATAAACCGTCTGCACGCACTCTTTATGAGTCGGAACCCAGACTTCAAAGGAGGGATCTCTGTTGCTGGTCACAGTTTAGGTAAAATTGTCAAATATCCACATTTTAAACAAAATATTTCTTTTTTATTATTATTTTTATTTTTTTATTGATTATGCTGTTACAGTTGTTCTATTCCCCCCCCTCATTCCCCTCCACCCTACCCCCCGGTCCCCACCATTACCCCCCTTTAGTTTATGACCATGTGTCTCAAGTTCTTTCGATTCTATATTTTCCATACTATTCTTGTCCCCCCCATCTATTTTCTATCTACTGTCTATGCTACTTATTTTCTGTACCTTCTCCCCCCTTCTCCTCCTCCCACTCCCCTGTTGCTAACCCTCCTTGAGATCTTCATTTCTATGTTTCCACTCCTGATCTACCTGTCCTTTTAGTTTGCTTTTGTTTTAGGTGTGGTTGTTAATAACTGAGTTTGTTGTCCTTTCACTGTTCATGTTTTTTTTAACTTCTTTTTCTTCGATAAGTCCCTTTAACATTTCATATAATAAGGGCTTGGTGATGATGAACTCCTTGAATTTGATCTTATCTGAGAAGCACTTTATCTGTCCTTCCATTCTAAATGAAAGTTTTGCTGGATAGAGCAATCTTGGTTGTAGGTCTTAAACAAAATATTTCTTGCGTCATCACTGCTTTCAGTGTGGATGACATTGTTAGTGCAAGATTTAGAAGAATCGATTTTAAGTTTAATGAAGGATAGAAGTGAGTGCTTTGAGTTTAGATTCTGCCTTTTCTATTCACCTTTCATGTTACCCAGTAAGACTTTATATTTTAATTTATTCTGCTGTTGGGTGAAACAAGAATATTTGATTAACATCTAATTTTTGTATGACTTCTGCCTAGGGACTTGGAGAAAAGGAGGAGGATGTATTTCGTGTTATAAAAAGCACCTAGAGCATTGTAAAGCAAAATGTTCTTTTTTTTTAGGTTCTTTAATATTGTTTGACATCCTGTGTAATCAAAAAGATTTGGCTTCACCAGCGTCTCCGAGGCCTTTTGCAGTCGCTAACGGAGCGGTGGGGCGGCCGCATTTTCAGGAGAAGCAGGTGGGGCTCAGTTAATGTTTGGATTGGAGTTGGAGCTGAGCAGTTTCCCAGAATCCAAACTGTTGCTGTGGATCAAAGTCCACTGTTTACAAGTGTAATGGAACAGTGTGGCTCATTGTTGCTATAACAAATGGGAAAATGAGTGATTTATTACATTTGTATGCTTTTTCAGAAGATAAAACTTGGATGACAAACTACTAAAAATTATGATTTGTTTATGGAGCAGAATGATTTTAGAGTTTCTGTAGATTAGGAGACATTTTATGGGAGTTTTTCTGAGCTTTGTAATGTTTCCCCAATTTTTTTTAAAGATGCATGAGGAGCCAAAGCTGACCTTGGATGAGTCTTGTGACCTTGATGTTGAAAATGAAGAAGTCCTAACTTTGCAAGAAACTCTGGCAGCACTTAGCCTCTCTGAATACGTTAGCACTTTTGAAAAGGAAAAGATTGATATGGAATCTCTGGTAATGCTGATAGTTTGATTCATTTTTGTATAAAACTATTTTTCCTGTGTATAAATTGAAAATTCAGAATGATTTAAACACTCTTATAGTCTTACATCATAATACATTCCAGATAAGGCAGAGACTTAAATGTTTAAAAAATGGAAAAACACAGGAGAACTTTAAAAAAAAGTCTGAGGAGATTGTTCTAAGTGTGTCACAAAACCCAGAAGCCATAAAAGCAAAAACACTGCAGAGAGGAGAGGCCATAAACAGCAGCTAAAGACCAGTGATAGGGTCAGAATACTATCTGGAACACACATTGTGTACAAATGTCTCATTTCCCACTATTCAAAGCTTCTACAATTTAGTTGTGCAAAGATATCAACACAATAGGAAAATAGGCAAAGAATAAGAACAGATGATATACAGAAAATAACATGGATTCCTATACTAAATCTCATAGGATAAATGCAAATAAAAGTGCAATGAGATTTTTTTTAACTTACCAGTTTGGCAAAACTAAAGAGTTGCTAATAGTGTGGGGGGGAAAGTAAGTTTACAGTTTGTGAGTACGTGAAACACAGAGTTTATTTTTGTTACTATTTATTAATCATTGTTCATGTTCCATAGGAGTGACTGTAAACCCACTTTTGCCCTACTCTGTGTACTGTGCAGCTAAGACGAGGGGAAGTCGGCACTGTTACATATTGTTGGTAGCAGTGTAAATCACTCTGGAGGGCAGTTTGCCAGTATCTTTTAAAATATAAAAAATACTCTGTGTCCCAGCATGTCACTGCCAGGAATATTTCCTGTAAAGAAATACTCAAGAAGATGCACAAGGGTACTGCACTGTTCACACTAGTAAAACCTTAGAAACACCTTTTACGTCCACTAGTAGGGCACTAGCGAGGTTATTTATGGTGCATCTATGTAATGGTGTACCGTGTAGCTGTTGAATGAATGAGCAGTGTCACAGATGCCAGTGAGAGTGATCGCTTAGGCACGTCATGTGAAAAGACCAAAAGTTCAGTCCTGTTTGCATAGTAGGCCACACACACACACACAGAGAAAAGCATGTAGTTGCTATGTACATATAAGATCTCTCTTGAAGGAGAGCGGATTGCCAGCAGCTGCTGCTGAGAGAGCTGGGTTGGGTGCTTGGGGCAGGACTGGAGGGAAGAGACTTCAGAACTTCAGCTTCACCGTAGCTTTTGAAGTTGCACATCATGCATATATTTTCTGTAAGAAAATTAATACAATGATTTGGATGTGGAGGGCTAAGGTTTTACAGTCTAAATTAATCCATGATTTAAAAACAAAAAAATATTTAAAAAGTGACTGGATCTTAGATTGCTTTCGATGTATAGTTTCTTTTTATAATCATTTTTCAGTTTCACTCTGTCAGACTAACGTGCTTGTTTCTTTTCTTTTTAAGCTTATGTGTACGGTTGATGATCTGAAGGAGATGGGAGTACCTCTGGGACCCAGAAAGAAGATAGCTAACTTTGTAAAACATAAAGCAATCAAACTGGTAAAGTTCATCTCTGCCCCCCAAAGAAAAGAAGACACATCTGGGACTAGTTTGTGTGTATTTTGGAAGGTTCCGTCAATACCGTCACGGTCAGGCTAGTTAGCGTGCCCCTGCCCCAGGGCACAGTCGTGGAGTTGATGAAGTTCTGACAGAACTGGATTTGATTCCAGTTAGGGTAACTGACCACCCAGTTTCCTTGGGACTGAGAATTCCCTTGAAAAAGGACTTTTTATTTATAAAGTGGGAATTTCCTAGAGCAAAAACTGGGTAAATCCCGGACAGATGGATGAGTTGATTACCCTGATGCCCAGTTCAACCACTTATTAACTACATATTTATGAGAAATTTGCTTACCTTTTCTGTTTCTTGGTTTCCTGTATTCCTAAACTGGGAATGATAATAGAGTTGGAGTGAGGATGAAGTAATGCATATGAAGATTGAGACCCAATAAATCTTAGCTCATGTGTCCTGACCAGGAATCAGCCCGGCGACCCTTTCGTTCACAGGCCAGCAGTCAATCCACTGAGCAACACCAGCCAGGGCCATTTTTGAACTTCCGTGTTTCTTTTATCTGTGTTACTTCTTTGAAACTTCACATATGCTATTTATGTAATATGACTGTGGTCATAGGACTGATTTGTTGTGATTAGCTTAAGCAGTTGAGTTAGTTAACATTTTATAAATGCGTGTTTGGGGTCAAGCACAGTGCTTGATTCTTGGAATGTGGAGATGAACTGAGGATATTGTGTCTGGTTAGAGGGAGAGATTTGACCACAGATGATGACACACAAGTCCTGTGACAGAATGCCGTGCAGGCTGTCAGAGGCAGGTGAGGGTGGCAGTTCTGGCCAGGGGAGAAGGGCCTGGGGGTGGTAAGAGAAGACTTTCCTCAAGATGTTGGTGCTTGAGCTTGAGGGAGGGGTAGGATCAGGGGACTTGGCCTTCTAGGCGTGGGCCTGCAGCTGATACTGAAGGTCAGCTGGGAGCCGGGTAGGGCAGAGGGTCCTGAAGGCCCACATGGCAGGCGCGGAAGTCTGGTTTCCTCTTGTAAGGGAGTGGGTCTCAGACGTGTTTTTATGGCCATGAAAGTCATGATGCTTTTCAGTGACCGCCATGAAATGCTGACCTGCATATTAATTCTATCACCAGTTATGACTTAGCACCAAATCACCTGTTTAGTCTAAATCTTAATGTTCACTTTAGACATTTTAAAATATAAACGTGCTATAAACTCATTATAAAATCTTAGCCCTGACCAAATGTTTCTATGATAAATACATTTTAAAACATATTGACTCCTTCCTGGTTTTTCCATGAACATTTTTCTCCTTGGGAAGCATAAGCTTGCAAAAACAAAAACAAGAAATGAGAGGCTGTTTTCAGGCCCTGCAGCATACCCTTGACTTTATTCTGTAGTAGAAGAAAAAAACAGTAGAAAAGCATTTTATTGTCCTTGGAAAACTTGCAGAAGGAGTCTGGTTTATACACTATAGTTGCTTGCATATATGAACTATGTATGGCATTATAAAAATATTTCGAAAGGTGTATATATAAATAAAAAGTGATCTTATTTTTTAACTTATTTTCAGAAGTAATTGCTTCTGGGTGAACCATGACATTTTCTCAGCTGTGTTGCTATTGATTGCTCTTTGTTCTTTACAGATGACAAGGTGCTGCCAGATCAATAATTAGATAGTATGGCATATCCTATTGGTTTAATGGAACTGAAATAATGGGACCAAAATTAGCCAATTATTTTATAATATGGAGATCAAGTATTTGTAGTCTGAGTGCTCTTTTTCCCCTTTGTAAACTGTCTTAGTGATTTTCATTTGAAAAGGAGGAGTTTTGTTTTTTTAAAACATATTTTTTAAATTTATTTTTAGAGAGAGGGGAAGGGAGGGAGAAAGAGAGGGAGAGAAACATCATTGTGTGGTTCCCTCTCACGTGGCTGCCACTGGGGACCTGGCCTATAACCCAGGCATGTGCCCTGACTGGGAATTGAATTGGTGACCCTTTGGTTTGCAGCCCGTACTCAATCCACTGAGCCACACCAGCCAGGGTGAAAAGGAGGAGTTTTTAATGTTGGGAATATTGATAGTCAAGTTATGTGTATGTTGTTTTTGTAATCATTGCATGAGTCTTGGGGGAACAGAACAGTTTGCAACAGGACAGTTTATGGTCTATTTAGGTGGCTCTCTTAGCAATCTGGAGTCAGTTCTGAGAATGTGATGGGTCATACTTCTGCAGGAGAAGGCAAATTTGAACTGAAGAACCCTGGGCACGTGCTTCGTTTTGGGTTTCAGAATTAATCCTATGCTGCCTTCAGAGGGCAAAGATATACCTTCCGAAACATTAACTGTGGAATCAGTTCTGAGCTGGCTGGCAGAGGGTTTACTTTTTTCTGAATTGCTGTTGAGTTAACCAGTTTGACTCTTCCTGATTTCCTAGTACTGCATTTTGCTGTGCACAAGGTGTACTTTTTTTTTGCCCAGATTTTTGAGGAAAAAATAAGCGTGCGCCTTCCACATGGGTATAATGATTATTTACCACAGGTATAATAATCCTGTGCATGAGATGCACAAAAATGTGGGTGTGCATTAATCACGGGAGCACATTATACACAGCAAAATATGGTATTTGGAATTCAGTGAGAGAGAAGACTGATTTGGCCGGCTGTTTTGTTAAGTCATTTCGGTAACTTTAGACAGACTCACACAGTCATTCGCAGCCTGCACATGTACTTGCGGGGTGTAGCCAGGTCCACCCGTGACAGCTGCCCGCACCTCCAGGCATCGTGCTGCTGTGTCAGGCTGTGCTGTCACGCCCGTGTGAGTTTCATCTCCTTCTCTGACATACCTGAAGCTTTCGTTCGCTTGTGGAAACGTGGAGATAAGTTGATCTTAAGTATTTGTAGCAATAAGTTTTGACAGTTTTTGTACCTTTGTAATGACAACCTAAAGCAAGCAGTAGAACATTTCTGTTACGCTTCTTTCTGGTTGGCTCCTCCTGCCCTGCAACTGCTGAAAGTTTTGCCTGTTCGGTATGGTAGAATGGACACTCTGGATGCTCTCTTCTGTGCATTTTTGGCTTCTTTTACTCAAAATGTCCTTTTCGAGATTCACCAAGTTGTTGAATCATCCCTCTGTTCTGAGCAGTCGGTCTGTTGTGTGAGTGTAACAACACCGTGTGCCGCTTCACTCCTCCCAGAGGCTTTCGAGGGAGACTTGGTGGTGGCTCCGTGCAGACACAGGGTCGAGGGAGGAAGTTTCTCCTAAGTTACACATCTTTATAGAAGTATTGTTTTAAGTTATATAGTGTTTCTAAACTGTCTTAAGTTTAGATCTTAAAGGAAGACATTGACATTTTTAAACTTTTTATTATTAAAACTTAATGTGGGAAGGTATTATGAACAGTATAATGATAATCAGTGTTTAGATTGAATTGGAGCTATTTTGCGGTATTTTTTTCATTGCCTCTTAATCTTTTTTTCTTAAGAATTTTAAAGAAAATTATAGACATAATGGCACTTCTTTCATAAATATTTAGTATGCGTCTCTCTAATGCCACAATGTCATTTCTCTAATGCCACAATGTTGTGCTTAAGAAATGACTAGTCGTTTCTTAATATTGAGATAGCATGTTTTGTGGTGCTAGCTCATAAATGAACTTTTCCCTCAAGGTTATGCTATGAAATTGTGGTATTTCACAGGAACAGAAAAAAGCAGCTTCAGAAAAGAAGGCGATGACGGCAGCTTCAGCCAAAGGACAGGAGGCAAGTGCTCAGAAACCTAAAGAGACGGCGTCCGGGAGGAGACCTCCAGGCGGCGCTGCTGCTGCTTCTGTGCGTGTCGATTACGAGTCTTTCGAAGTCGGCACCGGACAGGTAAGTTCACGTATGCCTAAGGCTGCATATTGTATGTTGGAGTCGCATGTCTTTATTATGATCACATTGCTTCAAATTCTTTAAATGTTTACTCAACATGTATGGGAGGGGTAGAGAAAACTGGTTTTAATAAAACTTGTATACTTCTATAATGTTCAGAATAGGGGATCAAATCATATAACTTTTGGGGTTGCCTTTATTTCAGTGGTTTATAGCATTATTCTCTCATAGCCACTGGCAACAGAAGTGGCAATAGTTAGAAGATTATGCTCAGATTACACCTAAATGCCTGTGGGAGAGGCTTGCTGTGTTTACACAGTTCATGTGCTTTTAGTTCTCTTAGTTTTTTTCCCTGAGGAAAAATCGATTAAATAGTTGATGATTCTACATTCAGTAATATACTTTGATGTGCCTGTATTTTAATGGCTGAGAAGTCTGAAAGTTTTTGGATGTTACTTTCAGTATGTTTATTTTACTTTATTTTATTTTAAAAATTTATTTAATCTTTAGAAGGGAAGGAAAAGAGAGAAGGAGAGAAATATCAGTGTATGGTTGCTTCTGGTGCATCCCTTGCTGGGAACTGGCCCCTGCTGGGAACTGGCCTGCAACCCAGGCATGTGCCCTGATGGGGAATCGAACCGTGATCGTCTGGTTCGCAGGCCTGCACTCAATCCACTGAACTACGCCAGCCAGGGCTCAGTATGTTTATTTTTATAAATAAGGTTCCATGATCATAAGTGAGTTCATAACGTGTCAAGAAGGCAGAAAATGAAACTGAATGTTTGCTATAGCTTGTTTCAGTTTTTAAGCCCAATTCATTTATAAAGATTGCCTTTTAAAAATGTCTCTTTAAAAACATGAGCGTATTTGAACAGACTCCAGCAAGTAAAGGCAGGTGTTTCCTCCCCACACGGGGCAGGATCAGGGTGTCAGAGGTTGGTGGAACCACGGCCTCCTTGCCACCAGGACCCTCGCTGTGTGCCTTTCTGTGGGACTTGGTGTGCTTCAAGGCGATGGAATCATGGGCGTCAGTGGCTTTGAGCTCATGTACAGCCGTGTGGTCACAAGAGAAAGGAATCTACCCTGGTAGTAGGTCCTGTTAGGAAATTTCAAGAAGGTATTTTACTTGATCCAGTTTAAGTCACAAGTCCATTTGGGACGAGTTCTTGTTGCCTGGGGAATGGGGCACTGGTTGATGGACCCAGCTCAGGTGGTGTGCCACTTCCGGCATGTGGGGTGGGCCGAGGTGGGCATGTAGGTGCTCGGGCAGTCTGCACTGCAGCAACGGTGCGCGTCATTTCTTGCCAGGAAATACTGATGAAGCAAACGGAGATTAAAAAGAATCTCAGAACTTCCTTAACCAGAACTAACCACCATTAGCTGCCTCAAAGGGCCTTCTAGTCTTTTATTTGAGGGTGTATTTACTTATATATTTTAACAAAAATGGGAGACTAGTACAAACAGTGTTTTACGTGGGGGTCGGCGCTCCAGCCCCCCTTGTGGCCGCAAGTCTGGCTCCCCCAAAACTTCACCAACGGGGTGCCGTGGACTGGGAGCCCGCTGATAACAGGAACCGTCGATTAACGTGTTTTATATGTTGGATGTATTATAGATTGTGTTCTTAAAGTAAGCTAGAGAAAAGAAAATGTTGAGAAAATTGTAAGGAAGGGAACATACATTTACAGTATTTATTGAAACAATCTGTGTAGGCGGACCCATGCAGTTCAAACTCACATTGGTGCAGCTGTATTATGAATATATTTTATATCAGTAAGTATTTTTCTACAATTTCATTTTTTAAAACAATTTTATTTTTTTATTTTTAGAGAGAAGGGAAGGGAGAGAGGAAGAGAGGGAAAGAAACATCAGTCGGTTGCCTCTTGCATGCCCCCAAGTGGGGACCTGGCCTGCAACCCAAGCACGTGTCCTCATTGGAATTGAATCAGCAACTGCTTGGTTAACTAAATTTTCTAAAAACTAACTAAGTTTTTTAGTCTTCTAAGTGATCCAGTGATGAACAGTTGTAAACCAGCTTTTCTGTGCACATTCTTTGTTCTTTCTTTTAATTAAATAAGGAGAAGAAGGTTAGCTGGGCCGAAGGGTGTACACATGAAAATGTTGGTAGTTACTGCCACCGCGGCTTGAAAGGCTGTGGCAATTTGCATATTCCCAGGCAGTTTGTAAGATTGGCTCCCTCACTAGTACACACAACCCCAACTTAACGGAGGTTCAATGTTGGTATTTCGGAAGTGATATATCTGCACTAGAAACTGTACTTTGAATTTAGGGTTTCGGTCTTTTCCTGGGCTAGTGGTGTGTGCCAGGACACTCTCTTGTGATGCTGGGCAGTGGCAGCCGCGTAATCCCAGGGGTGGACAGCCATTGTGTTCTGGATGTGGTATATTGTGTTTTCACATAAATTACATGAGATATTCAACCCTTTCTTATAAAATAGGCTTTGCGTCCGATGATTTTGCCCAACTGTAGGCTAATGTAAATGTTTGGAACATGTTTAAGGAAAGCTCTGCTGAGCTGTGATGTTCTATATTAAATGTATTTTTCATTTAAGATATTTTCAACTCATGATCATTGGAACCGTCATCTTTTATTGCTCTTTGGTTCTTTCTAGGTTTCTGTTGTTTATAGCCCATTAGACTTTGAACCGGAGATTTTCTTTGCCTTGGGATCTCCAATTGGTGTGTTTCTCACGATTCGAGGAGTGGATCGGCTAGATGAGAACTACAGACTTCCCACCTGTAGAGGGTTCTTTAATATTTATCATCCGGTGAGTGAACAGAATCAGCCTCCTGTTGTGAAGAAGGTGAAGAGCCCGTGCTCTCCATCCGAATCTTTTAGGAGTTAATACTGATCTAGGTTTTGTACAACTCAGCTCTCAGTGCTAACAGATACAGTACAGTAAGCTCCAATCTTTTCTACCAAAAAGCTTTTGTTCAAGGAAATAGTTATTTTACCCATAAACCTGAAAGTCTTCTTATAATTACCAATATTTGAATAGGTGTAAAAAAAATACCTAGTTTGCCAGTTTTTGTTTTTTTGCCCAACTAAGGTATATAACTCAAAATAAACTAGCTTTTTATAGATTTTAATTTTTCTGTTTGTAGCTTGATCCAGTGGCATACAGACTAGAACCCATGATTGTTCCAGATTTGGACCTAAAAGCTGTTCTCATTCCACATCACAAAGGCAGAAAAAGGCTTCATTTAGGTAAAAAGCAAATATTATATACTTGTTTCCTTCTTGTTTTTTAATCTGTCATTTGTAATAGATTAAATAAATTTTAACACTTAGTCCTTTCTTACAGAGTTAATAATGGTAAGTGCCTCCTGTGTTTAGAACTTGTTTACTAAATATTTGGAAAAGCTGTAGAGCACATTGTGAGTGAATTCCTTCTCCTTGATGACTTTATCCTTGATGACATTCCAATTGCTGAAATATTTAAGGAACGAGGGGAAGACAGTAATAAAGTGATGTGGTACATATGAGGCCTGTCCAGAAAGTATCCAGCCAAGTATTATGAAAAATAGAGACATTTATTGAACAAGATACAAGAAACATTGTACACAGGACAATGATGCCTCAAACCCCTTCAAAGTAGGGATCAACCTTACATAGTTCTTCCAATTGCTATCAGCTGCCCCATTGTATTTTTCTGAATTTTATCCATGGTCTGAAATCTCTTCCCTTTCAAAGGTGATTTTAGTTTTGGGAAAAGCCAGAAGTCACTGGGCATCAAACCTGGGCTTGTAGCAGGGGCTGAATCACCTGAGTGACTTGATGTTTTGTCAAAAAACTGCGTGAGACACGATGCATGAGTGGGTACGTTATCATGGTGAAGTTGCCAGTCACCAGTTGCCCATAGCTGCAGCCTTCTGAATCATCTGAATAGTTTCCACAGAGGAATGTTCAAGCTTAACATAAAATTTGATGCAGATTTGTTGCTCTACTCTCTCATTCATTTTGAATGCGATGGCCACACAGTGCACACGCTTACTCGACACCGTCTGCCACCCCCACCGACTAGTACAGTGACGTCGTCATTGTTCACATGTGCATATTCCAGTCCATGCACCTTGGCCACCAGGTTCATCAGTGTCTTGCAGACCATTCTCATTGTATTAACAATGGTTGGACTTTTTCTGGTCAGACCTTGTAGATTTTGATAGAGTGTGATTAAAATTTGGGGAATTGGGAAGCAGAGTAACATTTGAACTGAACAAACCATCAGGAAATGAGTTTGATGTTTTTGAAGGCACGTGGACGGCTTTTAAAAATTTCCTTGCTAACTGGACAGACTTTTCCCTTAAAAAATTCATTTAATATATGGATTGATAATAATTCTAAGTGGGGTTTACATTTTTCTCATGTCTATTAATGGTGTATATTACTTATCTACAGGTTTAAAAGAAGGAAAAATGATCATGCCCTCTTATTTAAAAGTTTTTTTCCTTGATTTATTTTTTGTTGCTTTTATGATGCTTTAAAAGAATATTTAAATCTTTGTAGTTAAAATGAGAAATTTGCTATTCAGAGTTCTTGATTTCAAATAGGAATTATTAGACAACAGTAGAAAAGGTGAAAGTGGGAGTTTCTTCATTTTTAAATTAGAAGATTAATTGTGCTTTTTACGTTTTCAAAATCATTTCACTGTTACAGATTAGAAAAAGTCATCTTTTTAACTTTTGGGGTCTATTTTTTAACTCACAGTAAGAAAAAACCACATGCATGTGTTTAGTTACTTCTTTATGGTATTGAACATCTTTTTGGAGAGAGAAAATTTCTAGGTTTTGGTTGTATCAAGTTTAGTCATTACAGAAATGAAAGGGATACGACCCCTCAGAACATTTGAACCTGAAGGGTTTGGTCGAGGTGCTCCAGGTGCCCGATGTGTAAGGGAGGACTGAGTGGCTTCACCTGCTTGAGAATCCTCTTAACTGTTCATTTTTGTGGTGCAGAATTTTACCTGCTGGCTGATAACTCGATGTGTTGTTTTAATCTCTTTAGAGTTGAAAGAAAGTCTCTCTCGCATGGGATCTGATTTGAAGCAGGGTTTTATCAGCTCTCTGAAAAGTGCGTGGCAGACACTAAATGAGTTTGCTCGTGCTCATACCTCTTCAACTCAGTTACAAGAAGAATTGGAGAAGGTAGCCCATCAAATCAAAGAGGAAGAAGAAAAGCAAGTCGTTGAAGGTAAATTTGATGTTTGAGGCCTTTTCCAGTTGTTCCAAATGTTATTTGTCAACAGAATACAAATAATTTAGTAATGTTTGTCCTCTAGTCTTTTTTGTTAAAATGTAAAGACTCCTGTAAGGGAAAATCTTTTAGGATAAACTGTACTTCCAAATGTGTCATCCTTTTGCAGCTGCCTGGTTCTGCCTGGTAGTTGCTGCCCGTTTTTACTCTGCAATGTTAAAATTTTATTGAGATTCCCAAGGCCGGAGTGTGACATCAGGGCGAGAACCGAGTTTGTATTCAGGCAGTTGGAACACCTACTCTGGGAAATTACCTTTTCCGATGCTGCTGTTTGACTGTGTTGTTACATACTTTACTGCAATGTCAGGTCATTGTGCCGTGATGTGTTTGATTTTTCAGATTCTAATTCTATTTCTTTTCTTTCTACAATGCTCTCTCACCCCTTTTCTTCAAAACCTCTGTCAGCTCCTTGGCTCTTCCTCCTCTCTCGGGGTAACCAAGCCCCTCTCCCCCTGGCTCTTTGGAGGATTGGGAAGTGAGCCCGGTAGCTGCCCAGGTTGCTGCGTGTGTCAAGCAATATTCTCATTGAGCCCAGTAAATCAGCTAAAGTCAAAGGAAAATGATTATGTGATTGACTTTGATATTGAAATGGTTTAAATTCTAGCAGAAAAGATTGTTGAAAGTCCCGATTTTTCCAAGGATGAGGACTACTTAGGAAAGGTTGGAATGCTAAATGGAGGCCGCCGCATTGACTACGTTCTGCAGGAAAAGCCAATAGAAAGTTTTAATGAGTATCTTTTCGCTCTTCAGAGTCATTTATGCTATTGGTAAGTATTTTCACCTCTGATCACATTCGTGTGGCCTTTAGGCGCGAGCGTGGGAAGCAGTGTTTGTTTTAGTGAGACTCGCTGATTCATCATGTTATGCAGTATTAATCCAAACACCCACATGTTCAAAGTCAGTGTTTTCTTTATTTAGTTCAGTCACTCACAAGATGGCAGTATGTCATCTGCCTTTGACCAGAGGCCCTTGACACTTGCACACTGTTTTTGCAGGGATGCCTTTCACAGGATGGGATGGCAGGGAGGGCCTCAGAAAAGCCCTTCTTGCACAGATCCCCTCACTCAGGAGAGTCGCAGCGTGCTTGTTCCGGAGCCGAGGGGTCTCCGTCCACTTTTTAAGGGCAGCTTCGAGATCACACTACTTTAATTTTGTTTGCCCTTGGGTGGAATTGAGTGGAACAAAAGCTGCATTTCCCATTGTTAGGCATACAGATTATTTCTACTAATTGTATTTTAAGTAAATATACTTTTTTTTTATAGGGAATCTGAAGATACTGCCCTGTTATTACTTAAAGAAATTTATCGAACAATGGATGTTAGTCCAGAACAGCCCCAGCATTAACTGGACTTCAGTCTCCCTGTGTAAGTTCACCTGTGTTGTGTGTAGATTCTGAATGAAGTCAGTCTCCCTGTGTGAGTTCACCTGTGTTGTGTGTGTAGATTCTGAATGAAGTCAGTCTCCCTGTGTGAGTCACCTGTGTTGTGTGTGTAGATTCTGAATGAAGTCAGTCTGCCTGTGTGAGTTCACCTGTGTTGTGTGTGTAGATTCTGAATGAAGTCAGTCTCCCTGTGTGAGTCACCTGTGTTGTGTGTGTAGATTCTGAATGCTTCATTCCGAAGTCCTGTTTATGGAGTTGACCATAATTTCTTCTTGTTTCTGTTTCCTCTGAGTGCTTTTTGTTTGAAAATTCAGACTGGATGGTAAAGGAAGGGAATTAGTAAACAGTGCATTTCTGACTTGTTGTGATCTTCTAATTCTGCATGGAATTTGAGTTCTTTTAATTTCATTTTCTTTTAATAATAGATTCTCAGGAACATTAGCTAGGAATTTCTTTGGTTGTAGATAACAGCCTAAGTCAAAGTTCCTTAAACAAATAGAAGTTTACTTTTGTTCTGTAACAGGGAAGGGTTCATTTTTTTGAATGATGCCAACAGATAAAAGGTAAAATAAGATGTAGAGAGTGACTGGGTTGCTTCTGGGGAAGGCCTCGCTGATTTAATGACAGTTGAATTGAAATTTGAATAATGGTAAGGAGGGTGGCTGTCTGAAGAAAAGGGGACAAACAACTTAAGCAGAAAGAAGAGCAGCTGCGAAGGTCCCGAGATGGGGACAGCTGTGTCCGGTGTGAGGGACTGAAAGCAGGGCGGTGTGGCCAGAGGGTCGTAAGTGAAGGGCAGGACGGAGGGGGAGTCGGAAGCACTGGGCGTGCTCGCGAGGGAACCGTTAACGCAGTTGCGTGTACTCTGAGTAAAACGGACACGTTGGGGTCTTTAAGAAGTGACATGATTGGGCTTCCGCTTTAGAAACATTGCTCTGGGTGTTGGTTGGAGGGTGGACTGTTGAGTAACGATGGCGGAAGGCAGACTCTGACGAGGGGTGTAGTGGAGGGGTGGTCATCGGGGGATGAATTCAGATCTCCTTTGGAGGTGGAGTTGTTTAGGACTTACTGACGAGTTCATTGTGGAAAATTATTCTTGGGGTTTTGATGTGAGCAACTGGGTAGACGGTGGTACCTTTTCCAGGGAGGGCTTCTGGGACGTTTTGGGGGTGCTGTGCGGGATGAGAAATCAGCGGTTCTGCTTTGTTCAGCCAGTAGTTGCTCTGAAGCACAGAAGAAAGCTCAGAGCGAAAAATAACACCTTTAGAATCGTCGGCATGTGCTTGACTTTTGAAGGCACAGACTGGGTGAGACCGCCTAGGAGGAGTGTGTTGGAGAAGAGAAAGGGCTTGTGGGGGAGGAGGAGCAGTGACGTGAAGGACAGTCTAGGGCTTTGTGATCTCAGGGCAGCGGAGAGAAGGTTGCCTCCGGGAGAGCGTGGGCGACCGCCTCAGACGCCGCTGAGGGGTCCAGTGAGGGGAGGACCAAGAATTTGCCGTTGTCTTGCAGAGGGCTTGGATGGCCATCATTGGTGACCTTGAGCAGAGGGAAGGCGGGCTGAGGCGAGGTAAAGGACCGGGGAGGAAAGAGTTGTGCCGGGAAGGGTAGCAGCTGTAAGATGGGGACGTGGCGTGCCGCTCAGTGCCACTCAGGGGTGTCTGCTTACTAGTGGCAGTGACTCAGTGTGGGGGGACTGATAATGCGAGAGCAAGACCGGGTAATGGTTGGAGAAAACACTTGCAAAGGCAATGGGGTAGCAGGGCCAGGGCAGACTGCAGGGTTGAGCCTTGGAGAAGGAGCCGGATGCATCTTCAGGTGGCACCAGAGGAAGGCAGACAGACCGTGGGCACTGATAGGGCTGCGTGGGTGAAGTTGGCGGTGGGAAGAGGGGCTTCTCCGGTTCCCTCGGCTTCCTCTCGGGAGTGTGGGAGGGGAAGGCCGCCAGTCCAGAGCCTGAGGGAGACTGGGGGGCGGGGGGAGAGGAGTAGAGAGACGCTCATCTCGGAGAGCGGGGAGAGGAGTGTACCAGCCAGGTGTGGTGGGACCGCATGGCAGGCGTGAGTGAGCGCTCATTGGATACTTTGGTCAAAGATCTGAAGTGAGCACAGTGAGCACAGTGGCCAGGCTTTCTTCTGGCCACTGCCACTGCCTCGGTGACGTTCGGGGTGAGCAGATACTCTGTGTTACCGGGTTAAGGTGTTGCTGGGTAAGACGGGAAGAGAGAGACACGGGCGCTGCAGGAGAGACACGCCGCTGCACGGGCGCTGCGGGCGCTGCACGTGGCTCGCTGCACGAGCCACGGAGAGCGGAAAAGGGCGCGGCCGCTGGAGGGGAGGGGTCAGAGAGTCACGGGGAGGGCGCTGTGTTCACGTGGGGACCCGAGGCAGAGCAGTGCGTCGCCGTGTCCTGGGGTCCAGTGTGGGGGCTGTCACACTCCGCTAAGCAAACGCTCTGTGTGTTTAAAAGCAACGTAAAAATTATAAAATAATAGTGCCTCATATAGAAATGTTAGAAACTATAGAAAAGAGTAAGAAGCAAGAGAAATCACCTATAGTCTTGCCAATTAGAAATATTAGAAGTTAATCCTTCTAAGTGTCATGTATTTTATATTATTTATTATTTTGCAGCCTGTTTTTTTCCACTTAGGAATGTATTGTGTAATTTTCCCACAGCCTGCAGTGTGTATTAGTGGGTGTGTTTACAATGTCTGTTGGTTTTTCTGAGTTACACTTACAGTTTGTTCAGCTTTTAAGTGACAGAAGTGAAGGATCTCCCTGTCTCTTCCCCCGTCCTCCTTCCCAGGGGCTGTTGTTGATGGTCTGAGTATATGTTCCTTTTCAAAAGGCAAATAATAGCTAAATAGATAGACTGCTATTACCTCCATGTCTTTGAGACCTTCCCGTATCCGTCCAGTATCTGATGAACGCTGTACTAAGTGCCAGGTACTGTTCTCGCACTGGGGTCGCAGCAGTGGACCACACATGTCTCTGCCCTCAGGGACCTTTTCCTTTGTGGGAGGACGGACAGCGAGTGAACAGTTGGATTGGGTCTGACGTGTATAAACAGGGCAGTGGGGGAAGGGTGAGAGGCAGTGCCTTTGTATGTAAGGTGGCAGAGGACGCCCTAACAAAGAAAGTGTCATTTGATTAGGTGCCAGGTGGATGTCTTGGGAAGAAGTTACTTCAAGGAGAGAGAAGACTATGTCATAACATAAGAGCTGCCTTATTCTTTTTAATGACAGTATAGTATTCCATTGACTGTAAACTGTGCTTTGTATAACCTGTTCCTTGCTGATAGGTATTTACATTATCCTTTTACTAATCTAAACAGTGCTTCAGTGATACATGGTATTTAATAGTTGCATTGTATTCCATTTTATTTTATTTACTAAAATAACATTGTTGGGTGTTTAGTGATTTTTCCAATTTTCACTATTATAAATAATTCTGACATGTGTTGTACATACATTTCTGACTGCTTGGGATAAATTGCTTAGAAGCAGGATTGTAGATCTGAGCATATTGCACATTTTAAAAGGCTTTTTGATTTATACTTATCGCTAAACAACATTTCAGAAAGGTAGGCTCAATTTTTATCTCTATCATCAATATATGTGCTAGTTTTTCTGCTCCCTTGCCAACACTGAGTATAATTGTTTTTTAAAACGTTGCCAGCTTGATAGAAGTTACTATGTCATTGTTTTATTTTATATTTTCATTACTAGTGAAACAGGGTTTTTTTTGGTGTATTTATTTGGCTGTTTGTGCTTATTGTTTTGTCAGTTTGCGTATTCTTGATTTTTACTCATTTTTCTGGATGTGTGGGGTAGCTATTTTTGTTTCTTATTCATTTATAATTGTGATATTTAAAGATAATGACCTTTTGCCATTGCAAATGTATTTGTTTCTGATTTGACACTTGCCACTTATTTTGCTAATGCTTTGGATATTTTGGGGGGATAGAGGTAGAGAGCACTGTTTTAAAATATGTAGGCCAAAATTTAAAATTACTACTAAATTATATTAAGTTCTTAAATGTTTTCATTTGACTTTATAGTTAGAAGAATATGGTTTAGAGAGGGATTTAACTTTTTCCTTAAATATTCTTTTTTGCCTGTGCTATATTTTGAGTAATGTACTTTTTTGTCATTGACTTGATATTTTTATAAGATGCTATTGTTTGACATTTTTAGCATATGCCCGTATTTGTTTTCTAGTCTTTCTGCATCTGTTTTATTGACTTATTTATCTGTCTACCATATTTCACTGACTTCAAATTATATATTTTTCACATTTTAGAATCTTTAAAATTGGAATGCATCTTAAAATCAGCTGTTGCCTGGATGAAAGTTGAGTCCTTCCCAGCGTGGCTTGCATTTCTACAGCCGGTCACTGGGGGGCACTACCAACCTGCGTCTCCTTAAGCTAATTTCTCTGAGGTTTAGCTGGACTCTGCTGGTGTTGTGAATTTAGACCACAAAATTTGCAGGCAGCATGGGGTGGGTGTATCAATTCAGATACCAAGGAAACTTTCCCCTCTTCCCATATTTAAGGAGGAGGTATAAAAACTTCTTTGTCCTCCCTTCTGTGGGAAGGGTTATTTTTTTACCCGTCATTGAAGTTGTAGCCATTCGACGTCCTCACTTTTTGTGACAGCCTCTGTCTCCTTTTCAATCTCCTGTCCTGGGCGTCTTTTCTTCGCGTGGCACGTAAAGCAGTGGTGCATTGGATTCATTGAATGTGGTGTTTGCTGTAACGTTACAGTTTGTACTGTCGGACAGTGATAAGTTACCGGTAGCTGGTAGTCTTGGCTATTATTCCAAATGAACTTTGAAATGATTCAAGTTCCCCAGAAGGCTCTCCCCGCAAAATGAACAAAACTCTAAACTCTACAGTCCTCAGATTTTAATATTACCTACTATGAAAAAGAACCATGCACACTTAATTTGCTCACTGTTTATTGTTTCATTTCTTTGTATACTTTGTTGTAAAGTTTAGGCAAGAATTTTATAGTTCCTAATACTGGCGTGATACCATAAAGTAATTAATTTAAAATACTAGCAGTTCTTCCATACATGGTTCACTCAAGCAGAGATCAGTTGGCTAAATTCTTTCATGTTCATCTCATTTATTCCTCTCTATTCTTATTCTTCCAAAGGCCCCAGATTAGGCTGTCAAAGCTTTCTTCTACTTTCTGCACTCACCGCGTTATAAAGGTGTCATGCTGGTTAGTCTCGCGTGTGCCCCTGGCTGCACTTGCGTCCTTCCCTCCCCAGGGCCTGTCTGCGGGCTGCTCCTGCCTCTGTTGTTCAGGGGGAGGCACTTCGCAGCCCTGGACAGCGCGTTCTTCTGGTTCAGGGGGGCACGGCAGTGCGTTGTTATATTATTACTGTGAGTTCATGATGTTCACCAAGGATTCCTTTTCTCCTTTAAAGACTTTCTTGTCTTTCCAGAAAGTCACAGTATGAATTTCATTGCTGAGAAAATCCTCAGAGGACATTCCCAGTTTGCTCCTGTGATGGATGACAGAAGTGACACATTGACAATTGCTCAGATGTAATTCTCAGATGCAGGGACTCATGGGGAAGAAAACACACAGAACAAAAGGACAGTGGGAACAGCACCACATTCTGACGGTATAGACGAGAATACGTAACTGCCAGAACGACACACTTAAAACCCCTCAGATCATAGGTGGTACCATTGTCAGAACAGTGTGTGGTGCCAGAGAGATTTGTAGCACGCAGATGGCTATTTCTGTTTCCTAAAAACCCAGGGTCAATCCCGTTAAGCTTGCATTTTTTGTTGTAGTATGTTCTTTTATTCAAGTATGGATTTCTTGAGAAACTATAGAAATATGATTTAAGAAAATGTATGTTCTACTTTAAATGTGAATTGTTCTGAGATGCTTTAACGTGGGGTCATTTGTATTTGTGACGAGGCAGTAACAGATCATTGATACTCCAAGTCGAAGCAAAGTTTTTATGAAGCCCTTCGAGCTGTTGCCGGGAGCGAAGCTGTGAAAGGAGATGCACAGGCGTCCTGGGAGCTTCCCCACGTGCCGCTGCCGCTGGGGAGGGGCGCGGGAGGGGCCTCCCGCCGGGCGTGGTGGGGGCTGTGTGCTCGCCTCATCTGAAGTTCCAGTTAACGTGGGAGCCAAACTAGAGGTTTTATGGTTTGTGTTGTTTTGCTTTGTATTAATTAATTTCACGGACACCAGAGTATTTGAAAGTATGAAATGTATTGCTTCTAGACCGTGAGTCTACTTCATGAAAAGACTGTTCTGTAATATTTCATTTTGTTTTACTACATCTTTAAATTATCTTAACTGTTTACTAATACTACATGGGAATGCTGATTTTTCTTCTTTTGTTATGCGGTAGAAACATTTTGCACTGTTTACATAGTTCTCATGGAACATAGAATTTTTTGAAAGCAACATACGATACACATTTTTGTGTATATGTTCTAATTAGTGTGAATAAAACAGTAACATCAATGCATTTTTTTAAGCGGCAAACTTCTGTTTCTCTTGTCTTCCTTGCAAGTATTCCTGTGAATTTGGCATTTATTTACTTTTCATTGTGGGTACGTGTTATATATGGTTAATACATGGCATTTGCTTCTAACATGGAATTAGGACAGTAGATTTCGGGGCTGCCGGTGACCCCAGACGACATGTGTGCCGCGCGCCTCGGTGTGGAGCTGCGGGGCTTTCTCAGGCCGCGCCGAGGTTTCCCCGCCTCCCCTCCGTCCTCAGTTCTCTGCGCCCGCGCTCCCGCTTTTCCTCATTTCCACTCACTTCCCCAAACTGACGGCTTCCAGAAGGACGAGATCATTTGTGTACATTTTAATAAAATCTAGTGTGATTTTTCAAATTACAACTGGTTTTGTCTGCATTATTCAGCCTGTCTTCTGCGTATTGGGCAGAGGAAAAGGAACAGTTAAGGCAGTGTCCATGGAAGAAAGGCGCGCCAGCCGAGTTTCAGGAAATCTTGCGATTTCATTTCAACACCGAGAAAACATAAAATGGAATTTTTGGTGACTCTGCCTGTGATGTTTATGTCACTTTTCAGTTTCCTACAGAAACAGGCAGTAGATTCCTGGAGGGCAGGGCCTCTGTCAGTGCCGAGTTTCCTGTCGGGGCCACTGTGCCTAATAGTCTTGTCCCATAGTAAGGCACTTCCCAGATATTTGGTGAATAAAGGAATTTCGAAAATGAAAATGTAATTTAACACTTGCATGAGACCTTGGAAGACCGTTTATATCAGTGGTTTACAAACTTTTAAGAAGCAGCAAAGTCCTTTTCCAGGTGAAACCTGCACCACATTTCAGTACAGATGAACTAGTACAGTTCAGTACATTTCAGTACAGTTCTGAACTAGATGAGAGTAAAGCTGCTGAGTAAAGCGTCCTCCCTCCCCACCTTCCCCTTTCCCCGGAAGTGGCTCATCCTGGCCTGGGTTAGTGCCCTCATTTTCCCCAGATGAGGGGAGTCAAGTCTCTAGTTATTCTGGTTTCATGTGAACAGTTTGGGACAAACATTGAAATTCTCAGTGTCCAAAGTTGAAGGTCAGAGCACCGTCGTAAAGCTGATGAAGATGATAGCAAAGGCCGGGTTTGTCATTGTGGTGTCGAGCAGGAGGAAACCGCACCCCCGTCTGGCAGTCCTGTGCATTTCCTGAACCTCAGAACCAGAATTCGATTTTAATAAATGGGAACTATACAACTTCTGTTAGTTTGGAGGTAAGTACGAGGTCCGTCCGGGAAGAGTCCAGCCATTAATATAACGAGGATGGTTTGTGCAACATCAATGTAACCTGGCAGCCAAGGAGGGGACTGGAATGCGCATGTGTGAACAGTGATGACTTCACTGTGCTGGTCAGTGGGGGCTGGAGATGCCATGAGTGAGCATGTGTGCTATGTGGCCGTCCATTCAAAATGAGCAAGTAGAACCATGAATCTGCATCAACTTTTGCATTAAGCTTGAACATTCCTCCGTGGGAACTATTCACATTACTCAGAAGGCCAAAGCCATGGGCAGCTGGTGATTGGCAGCTTCATCACAGCAGTGCGCCCACTCAGGCATCGCATCTCATGCAGAGTGTTTTGGTGAAATCAAGTCAACCAGGTAACAGCCCCCCTACAGCCCAGATTTGGTGTCCTGGAAATTTTGTAACAGGGTGCAGCTGGTTGGGCCCCAAATAGGGGTTTGTAATGGGGCCCAGAACTCAGGGTGTCCAGGAAATATTAAAATGTGGGATCTCCTCACCCCCACAAGTCTGAGCTGGGGGATGGGACACATGGAGCAGGGCCATTGAGAGTTGTTCTGCATAGCAACAGTTTTGCAGATAACCTCTAGAACGGTCATTTAATGTATCTAGAACTTTTAACTGGTTTCGTAGATGTATTAAACAGCTGTGACCATGCTTTGAGCCAGGGGGATGGGAGTGACTTCCAACCAGGATCTAACTGGGAGGCAACTGCCCCTGGTTACAGAGCCTGCATAAGAGCTTGGAGATGATTGGCCCCGCACCACAGGGCCCACGCCTGCCCGGACTCACTATGGCAGCCCAGAAAAGCTGGAAAAGTACTCCAACACTGGCAGGTACAGCTGACGTGGGAGGAGTCGGAAATGGGGCTGCAGAGGAAGATTGGCGCTGGGATTTAAACACAGGCTCAGCAGCCGTGACGAGAAGAACCACACAGCTCAGGAAGGTGGGAAACAAGATGTGGCAGTGACACGGAGCTCTCAGCAGTTTGGAAGGATGCGAGAGAGATGCGGGAATAAAGGGGGTGAAAGGACTCTTGCCGGTGGGCCATGGGAGGTGGTGCCATGTGGGTTTGGGTTAACTGGAGATCCTGGTGACACAGCTGGTGGTTCCGGGAACCAAGGGAGGCCTGCCAGCCGAGCCCAGACCAGTGGGAAGAACCAGGGCTACCTGAGCCACAGACTTCTATTTCTTTTCCTGAGATACAGTACCCCAGACCAGGCAAAGGGGGAAAGGAAGGACCGTGTTTGTGGGTGATTTAAGGGACTTTGGGATTTTAATGAAGACATTAAGTTATTCGTCTTAAGCCTGTATAACTTTTAAATAAATAATTCCTTTCCTTTCCATCAATCTGTGACATGGAAAGCTCTAATTCCTTGGAGTTGGGCAAGGCGAACCTACTACAGGGGGACCCCAGGAGAAGGGGGGGTCCATTCAGTAACATTGTGCAACCCCTTCTCTGCTGGCCAATCCGGGAAAGTCATGGGAGACCACATGTGCAGTAGCTTTAAAGTGACACAACCACTTGTACGTGCACAATAAGGACCCACCAAAACTAGCCAAGAAGGATCTACCCTGTAAGAATAGAGTCCCTCCAGCCCATGAGGTCAGTCTGTGCTTGGAGTTCTCTGCTATAAACTCTGTGTGTTAGGTATGATTCTTTGTCCTGATCACCAAGAACCTGGCTACCTGTGCCCACCTGTGACACTTTGGCCAGGTTTTTTTTTGGGGGGGTGCAGTGTAGATGAGACAAGAGGCTGAGTGTCTGCTGCAGGGGCGTCGGGGGGTGTGGGTGGAGGTCTGGAGGAGGGGCGGGTCATTGGAAAGGAGGGTAAGCTGTGGAACCAGTGGGGGCTGGCGGGGTGGGGGGGATGGCGATGCTCATTTGCCTGTCTTTCACGCAGGTTTGTGGGACTCTTGAATGGCCACCTTTAGTAAGTTCTACCCACCCTGGTTCTGTAAGCTCATTTTAGGATAGCACACCTGTTGTTCGTTCCTAAACCCTGTCCTCTTTTCTCCCTGATTTTTACTTCCCTGCTTTAAAATGTCATCTCCGTCGCAGATTTTCTCAAACATGTTGGCCCCACAGAATACTTGAAAAATGACATAGTGTCGTTCACACTCATGGGAACCTAGAGATGCAGCCTCGCACAGTCCCAGGTCGGGTCGAATGAGTCTCGGTGTAGTGGACGTACTTTTTCACGTTGCAGTGAACCGCCACAGTATGTGTTCGGGATACGAAATTGCGTGGTGACCTGTGAGACAGACAGGATGATCAAGGACCCACCCGTGAGACGGTGGGCCAGTCCGTTTGAGGGGTGAGCTTCCGTGCAGGTTCCCGGAGACAGGGCACACTGGGGATGACCCCTGTGCTCTTCTTTCTTCTATTAGAAAGTGGCTTCTCAGAGACTTTATTGTGGAAGTTTTCACTTGCTCGAAATATTATGCAGCGTGGTACAGTGAGTCCCCACGTTCCCTTCCCCAGCTTCTGTGGTGACAACGAGGTAACCTGAAGGACAGGTACGTGGCGGTCGCCAAGGTGCTTTGGAGATGAGGAAAGACAAAGACGTGAGATGGGAAAGAGCTCAGGCTTTTGGGCGACCGGGAGACATTGTTATGCATGAGATGCAAGAAACTATAGAAATGTTGAGTATGATTTTCACTAAAATTGCTTGAAAGACAATGTTTCTAGGGGTCTTTTCTTATTGTAGCCACCTGACCGCTCCCCTGCGCCCCTCGAAACCTGCTCCCCACCGCTTCTCCCAAACCCCTTTGTGTCTCTTTCTGGGGTGTACAGGGGTAGGCAGAAATAGGTTTGCAGTGGTTTGTGTGGGAACAGACATTACCTAAAAGATGAAGTACAAGGAAGGATACAAAATAATTAGAAGACAAATAGATGATACAGTAATTATAAAGAACCCAGGAATAAGTGGCTTTGCACACTCACAACTGCACACCTACTTTTGCCTGCCCCTGTGTTCGTTAGGAGTTTGCGTGGCTGTTTTGAAGAGTATTTCTAACTACTGGAGAAACTTCCCACAAACCCGGCTGTTGGGCGTCCCTGTACGTTACTCCCTGGAAAGAAGCCGGAGGGGGGACTCGGGTGTTGGGCGTCAGCTGTGTGCAGGCGCTGAGCAAGGCCCAGCTCTGATGTGACGTCCACAGAAGCCCGATGGGGACGGCAGTTATCCTCCCCATCTCACTGATGAGAGACCGCGTTGCTGGGGCCACACAGTTCATGGCAGAATGCAGTGCGCTTAGACCTCAAACGTGAAAAAGGGAAACCTCCACTCGGTACAGCAGGACGTCCCTCCAAACACTTGCAGACCGACTGCTTGCCTCTTTTTAAAAACACTAGGCAGTTGCAAAACCCATTTCATGTCTTTCTTTTTCACCTCCCTTCCTTCCTGCCCTCCCAGGAAAACATTTTGAGAGGATGCCTTTGAAAGAAAAGGGTGGTTTTAGGAGACGTAGGTTACAGTCTGCTTTGTCGTTTTTGCCTGCAGTGGTACTTCCTTTTCCTTTTCCTTTTTTTTTTTTTTTTTTTTTTTTATGTAGGGGTAAGAACCTTGTGTCAGTGAAGATTCCCAAATATTGATCTAAACAGGACCTTATCTTTATGTAACTACCCTTGAACCAGAAAGGGAGGAATAAACACCGGATGGTCTCTTGTTCCCATTTTGGAGTCTAGAACGAGTCCTGCCTAATCTGCGTGCCCACCTGAGTTTCTCAGTGGTCACAGCCACGTTTTATTGTTCCCCTTGGTGCCTCTGTTCTCATTTCCATGACCTGGGATTTCCTCAACCCCAGGGAGCCAAGATACCACGCAGACTCCGCAGTCTGTCCCCAAACCACTCCCATTCCCTTCGGGGGCTTTCCTTGTTTCGGAATTTCACATCATCTCCGTCTTCCTCTGCAGCCTTCTCCAGCCTTGCCTCTGCCCGCTGCCTGGGTCGGGCTAGTCAGTCATTCTCCCAGTTTGCTTTTGTTTGCTGCACTGCTCTGAGCTGCTGGGCTTCTCCCTCTGGTTGCAGGAAAGCCGAGCCTGCAGCAATTTTTTGGAAGCTTCCACATGCAGAATCCCTGAGCCAGAGCTGCTCAGTTGG